TCTCAGTCAACCCGAGCAATTCCTACCAGCTGCAGATGGCAGCAGCCCACTTGAGTCACTCCAGAAATCAATTTTCTGCTAGTGAGGGTGGCCCCATTAGACTAACGCACTTTCAGACTGATTTCACTCACAGCGGAGCAAGAGCTACAGAGAAACCAAAGATGGCTTGTGACTAGAAAGAGTCATGGGATGGAGTCTGGTGCCGTAACTGGGGTCAGATTCTGGCACTTTGACACGATAAAAATCACTGCAGGCAGTGGGTGTCACTGGTAATGAGCTCCATGCGATGTATCTGTCATCTGCTGCTGGGGGGAAACTGACCTTTAAAAGCCTCATCTTTTCCCAGTTATGGCTCACGTCATCTGTTCTTTGCTTAAAAATAAATAAATCAGAAAACCAAGATCCAATACAGGGCTTTTTCCTAATCACAGGTTTAATGCCCTTACTATTGTAACACATCTATTCTTCTATCTGTACGTTTTGAGTCTAGCTTAGTGCGATCTTCTGCTTTGCTCTACTGTGTTTTGCAGGCTTCTGTCTTCTCCAGTTCACATCTGCCACTGTGGCATAAGGCAATATATTCCTTAGACTGAGGCTGCACGTGCCTTTATGCGATGCTTCATCTAAAGCCTTTGACTAGGAATTATTTCATTTTGGCCAAATCTTTGCTTGTGTATTTGTGTTCTTCTTGATAGTACCAGAATATTCTGTCTGTGGCTTGGAACCAGACTGTTAAGGAATCCCTGTATCAGTTACGTGGCAGCTTCAATATGTGAAAAAGAAAATGTTGATCTAACCTATCGTCTGTGCTTGATGGAGATATTCTTACAGTCCCTGCTATCATTCTCCCTTTGCTATGAAATCCCAAGTATATAATTTATTGGAGATACATGAGAATGTAAAAACATATTTCCAGCCCACCTTCTCCCAAATACCAAATTGTATCAAATCCAGCAATCTTTTTCTCCTAATTAAAACACGTCAGCATCCTCCTTTACCACTTTTTCATCTTTGCTTCATCACATTTTGCATACCAGCAGTAACCTTAAGTTTCTGCATCTTCTGTCTTGACTGAAATAGAGATTCGTGGGGGGTGACGTGGGGATTAGTTAAAGCAAATGTATTGTGTCCCTATATTTGATTTCACTAGGGCATCAAGAGATGTGGGGGTACAATAAATATTCTTCCTGCCTCAGCTGTGAGAGTCCTCATCCCTCCAAATAATGGAAGTAATTTTTTTTAATTGTTTTTTTTTTTTACTTTTTATTAGAGGTTTTGACAAGAGATGTGACACCAATTATTTCTCAACAGCGTGAGAAATGTCTTTAGACCTCCTCTTACAAGGTGAAGTCTCTGTTCCTCTTGCAAATTTACCCGGTTCTTGAGTTTCCTGGGGAAAAGTGATTGGATTCTTACGCTGTTCTATGCACCCTTTGTGTTTTACATCTTGGGATTTCTCACGAAAGTGAGAGAACACAGGTGCTGGGTGGAGCAGGGTGTGTATCCGAGTTAGAGATGAATGTATTAATTTATTGTTGGGGAACAGAGTGGTCATATCTTAATCCTTTTCATGTGAAGGAGCCACTGTGCCTCTGTGTAGTTCTTTGTCTCTTTACTGCCAGTTGGGGATTTTACCATAGTTCAATAAACCCAGTAAGAGACTTCAAACATGGTCTTTCAGAGCCTTTGCTGTCACTGTGGTGTGTGTGACAAATGCAAATTTCAAATTGAAAAGGCCATGTGAGGAATTCTCTCTTGCATTGTGCAAAGCTGATGCTTAGACCTAAGCATTACAAAAATCATGTATCTTAATCTATTGAAAAAGCCTTTAAATGATTGCAAAAATTAAAAGGAAGGGAAGTGAAAGCCCTAAATTTGCTATGTTTGTCATTTTGAGGGAAGGATTATTGGGGGGGGGGGGGGGAGCAGAAATCATGTTTCTTAACTGTGTTTTAAGGTAGCAAAGATGAATTTAAGGCCCTGGGGGACTCTTTTATCTACATTATAATGCTGTGAGGGAAGTACTTATTAAAATTAATAAAATTATGTAAAAAAATTTGTTGGTAGAGATCCATTTCTAATTTGGTGTAATCAAGTTTTTAAAGTCTCTAAAACTTCAAGTAAGATGGAAAGGCTTTTTGGAGAAAACTTGTAGCGAGAGCACCACAGTCATCTTGTTGCTTCTCGATTTGTGAGAAAGCAGTCAGCGTGTCGTCATAGCTGGAAACAAAGAGCTGAAGGATTTTGTGTGAGATGAAGGAGATGGTTTCTCAGGGACATGATGGAAATCATCCGGCAAGTGTGGCATCACAGTGCCTTGCATAAATGTTCACAAAACCCCTTACAGTCCTGAAACGAAAGGTGTTGGGAAACTTGCAGCCCAGGTGGGATTTTATGCTGAATCCATTTATGTAAGCTCATCTGCGGCGCACAGAAAGGAAGGGACCCAAGCAGAGATGGCAATCGAGCTTTTTCCCAGCTGGGAACTTACTCAGCTGTGCAGTGGCCACTCCAGACCCCGGGCTGGTTCCGTCCCGTGGTCCCAGTGGTGGGAGCTGGCATCTGCCCAGCTGGCATGGGCTCTTGTCATGCCACCTTCAAACACAAAACACATGCATGTGAATGAAGGAGGATGTGAAAGAGCTGGAAGCAGAGCATGGCCATGCTGGCTGCTGCCTCTGGTGTCAGCAATAGCTTCTCCTGCAGGAAAGCTGCTTCCAGCCCTGTGCCAAAGCTGCCAGGCACCCATGGATGGAGGGGGAGAGATCCAGTCCCTGCGCAGCCTCACCCTGCACAGCATCACTTGCTTCTGTGCTTCACCTCTCTCCCCTACAAAATACATCCAATATTTATTTGCCTGTAGTGGGTTATGGCATTTCCTTAAAGTATTTTAAAATTCCTATATGAAAGAAGGCTATTCACACTTTTGTCATCTTTAAAATGTCTGGTCGTTGACTTTTCCACATCCACTCATTTTGGAAAGTGACATCCTGTCCATTTTAAACTCTTCTCACTGCTGTGACTTCCCGGTCCCAGGGCACCCCTCTATGCCATGCTCATCATGAGCCTGATGTGCAAGAAGCTCATTTTGGGGAGTGCTGCTCGTTCTTGCCAGGTCACCACGACCCGTTTGCGCCATGGGCAGGCAGGTATTGCTGCGAGGATCCAGCAGCGAGGACTCGCCTTGTTAAAGTGTTTTTCTTGTGGAAAATGGGTGCTGCTTTGGGTGCAGCCCATCTCATGCATGCTGAGTTGAGGTGTCCTCCAGACCAGGTGCAGGACAGAGGGAGAGATGTTGGATCAATTTAGGGAAAATAGCGTTGCTGACTCCTTTTAGAGTAACTGTGAGATTGCGTTACAGCATGTAGTTTGCAGTTCCTCTAAGAAAGAGCCTTTTGGTGGCTGTAGCCTGCTGGCAGCTCTCTGGCTGCTCTCGCCTCTGAGTCCTGAGGTGACCTGGCTGCCACTCTGTGCTCTCAGGATCAGCAGCAAGGGGAGCGGGCAGGTTGCATATGTGCATTTCTGTGTTTAAAAAAACCCTGCTCCTGCTTCAGGGGAAGCAAAGAGATTTTCTGGTTATGCCGGTAATGGCTCTTTTGCTTCCCCCATAGCTGCCAACCTAAATTGTCCCGTCAGTCTTGTCCATCTGGGTACCGTCGCATGGAGCTGGTCAAGTGGAACAGCTGGGGGCTACTGGAGCTGGCACAGCATTTGCTCGCAGATAAGCACCCCCTCACATGCTCACACTTCTCTTTATATGTTTATGTGAAGCCTAATGCAAAAGCCTCCAGGACTTTAGTGTGTTTTAGGGGAGCCTGTGCTGGGAAGCGGTGTTGGGTCACTGGTGGTGTCAGTGTTGTATGGAGTGGCCGAGTATGCCACGTGCTGCTGGGAATTGCGTGTTTCCCTCTGATGCCTGTAGACCTTGATAGGAAATCGGTGTGCCTAGGATAAAACCTGTAGTACTGGTAGCAAAAAAAAATCAGTACTGTGTGAAGTGCAAGTGGAAGGTTGTACTTGGGGGGTTGCAATGTGCAGGGTCGTAGAATCATAGAACGATTTGCGTTGGTTGGAAGGGACCTTTCAAGGCCATCTAGTCCAACCCCCTTGCCATGGGCAGGGACATCTTCAGCTAGACCAGGTTGCTCAGAGCCCCGTCCAACCTGACCTTGAATGTTTCCAAGGATGGGGCATCGACCACCTCTCTGGGCAACCTGGGCCAGGGTTTCACCACCCTCAGCGTAAAACATTTCTTCCTTATATCTAGCCTGAATCTACCTTCTTTTAGTTGAAAACCAGTAGGTACTGAACGTTTAGTGGCAGCTAGCTTGAATAAGCTGCTATTTCTCATTTTTAGCTTTCTCAGTACATACTTGTTTGAGGTTTTGCTAAGTAGTAAACAGTAAAAAATTCTGCTTGACACGTTTTTGGGTTTTGTTTAGCACTTAAACCCCCTACGTATTTACTTTCGTTCTCTCACATGCATCCACACTTTTTTTTAAGTAACTGTGTTTCTGCTAACTGTTGAAAAAGGGGGTTTCCACATTGAGTTGTAATTCTGATGGGAAGTTTTGTAACTTGACGATTTGATCTGCCCCATCTCTCTGATCACAGTCATTTTTTTTTTCAACAAAGTTATTTTCTTCTTAGCTCTTATATCTTCATACTCAATGCTATCTGTATTGTCCTAAAAGAGCACAGCTGTTCTGGAGGTTCCAGTGTGGAGGCTCTCCCGTATTGCAGGAAAATTATAAGATTTTGAATTTCATCTTCCTTTTTTTTTTTTTTTTTCTTCCCCATTCAAATTGAATAAATGTTATCACGGGTCTTTTTCTTCCCTTAAGTGTCAAGGTAGCTCATCTTTTCCCTTTGTGAAACCTGAACCACAATTCCTTCTAACACTGTCTTAAGGTCTCATGTCCAGTTCTGGTGCAGGCGAAGCATTGCGGAGTTAATTGTCATGTTCTTTTGAATTCAATAGTGTCTCTGGTCTCTTCCAGTAACTCGTCACAACCACCTGAAGGACTTCATGCTGGTGGTGTCCATCGTCATCGGAGTGGGTGGCTGCTGGTTTGCCTACATCCAGAATCGTTATTCAAAGGAGCACATGAAGAAGATGATGAAAGACCTCGAGGGACTTCACAGAGCTGAACAGTCTCTCCATGACCTTCAAGAAAGGTAAGTTTTATGCATCCACCCAGTTGGAGCATTCAACTGTCAAGTCTTTCCTGCAAGGTTATTCTTCATTTAGATTTCAGGAAAGATTTTCTTTTTAGCTGCTGTGTACCAGTGTCAGCACCTTCCTGAGTGACCGTAGCAAACCTGCCAGCTGATCTTAATAGCTCAAATGGGTGCCTGGCTTGTTAATGAATTCAGTTACCAGGCTACACATAAAAATGTGTGTGTGCTCACTTGACCTGCTCTTTGGTAGTGACGTGCTAGTTATGTGTACTTGCGGTATGCCACACACAGGCCTGGGTGGTAAAAACTCCCTTGTGTTACTACAATCCTGAAACGTGGTAACGAAGCCCCTTGAGCAAAGTGACAGCATCCGGTACCAGCATCTCCTGCTCTGAGGTGGGCCCCAGTGCACACTGATGCGTAGTCAAGCGTGGCCATACATACTCCCACACAGTTTTGTTTCCTTTCTGCCCTGTTTTTATGTTGTGTTCTGTCTCTTCAGTTCCTGTTCTGCTCTAAAAGTCGTTACTGGTTTAAAAAAAATAGTTTCTCAATTTCTGGGAAGACTGGACTCCATTTAGTTTTGCCACTGTTGGCATGTGAGAGCTTTCCTCCCTACACTCAGAAGTTTGCTGCTTTAAGGACCAAAACATCTAGCTGAGTAAAATGGATGGGAGTGCTCCTTCTGTACTCGACGCTGGTCACTCTTCGTTTTGAGAGTGTTGTCTTATTTCAAATAGGTACTTCCTATTTATTTACCACATTTAATTATATAGGAGCAGTGAAATGTGCAGTGGTTTCTACTCCCAGTCTGACTCATACTGAAAGTACATCAGGATCCCCACCACCCAAAATTACAGTGTAAATCTGTGCTTAGAGGGGAAGAAGAGCCTCTTAAAGGAGTGTGAAGTAATCCAGCACACTTAGAATTTGTCATCAAGGCTGAGCAGGTTGTTCAACTCTGGCTTTTGATGGGAAAAAAACATGCTGAAACAGTGGAAGCAGTCAGAGGAATTATACATTCCCTTTTGAATTTTTTGAGCTATATCTAGAAGTCCCTGCTTCCATGCCTGCATGGTGATACCTAAATCCAGGAGCGTTGCCCGGGAAGAAGGAGCAAAATAAATTTTGGAGTATTAAATACAAGTATCAGAACTCTAGGCACTTTGGCAAAGTACTGTAGCCACAGGGATGTGACCTCTACTCACAGAAATTACTGCAGTGGTTCCAGTAAAACTGCTTATTGGAGAACATGCTGCAAAAGAGGTCCTCTGCAGACACAGGAGTCTTCTAGGAAAGAAAAGAGCATTCAGGACTGTTAATGACAAACCAGGGGGGGTGTTTGATGGTAAGATATTTTTTAAGGACAGATTTAGCGAACAACAGAGCATGATAGTCTTGAACTGTAACTATTTTTCATTAGCTTTAAGTGTAATTTTGGAGGACAAACCTTAATTTGGCTGCCATATAAGCTGACGGCTATGTTCCCAGCAGCTTCTCTGAAAGCGGAGCCCGGCCCCAGGTACATGTGCTGGTCACTCATGGGTGGTGTGACAAGCAACCTGTGCAAACACCAGGATCCCGAGGACTTTTGCAAACAGCCGAGTCTTTGGAAACTATACAACATAGCTATGAGACTGCAGCCTGATTTCTTACCTATGTGCTCATGACAGCCTTCAGGGAATTGTCCCACACGTGGGCATTGTTTGAAAGGCTTTCTTCTTCGAGTTCGATCGCATCAGTTGGTGTCTATGTGGAGGGCGAACACTTGAGAAAGTACCAAGGTGATGGTGCCAAACTGGGCATGTTCCCCGGCAGTAATGTGGATACGTGACCTGCTTTTTTTTGGCATAGAGATAGAATCAAGTACATTTCTCCTCTGCCTACAAGGAACTGGCTCTAATCCACAGCTGGTTTCACAAAGCTTTGTGTAATTTTACATTACAGATTGGACATACCCCAAAGAAAAAGATTATTCTTTTCTACAGCCAGAAGGACAGGGCAATTCCTTCTCACGGTCCATCCCCCAAAGCATCAGAGCGTCCAGGGCAGGGGGTCTCTGCTGGGTGTCACCGAAGAGCAGGTCACACCAGAGATCCAAATGCTGGCTGCTGTGAATGTGCTGTGTGGGGAACGACCTTGGGATCTGCTGCTGAGGGCAGAGCCATGTAAACAAGTAGATGTGCCTGGGAGGTTCAACTAATGCTCTAAAGCCAGATAGGAAGAAACACAAAACCATGTATACTAAGCATAGCTTGAGTCTTAACCCAGAGCAGCTTGTGATGTTTCTGCAGGATGTGCAGCTGGGAGGGCTTGTCCTCTGCAGAGGGCACTGAGGGGGAACTCAAGAAGTGGGAGGTGAATTCCTGGACCATGTGGGGCCTCTTGGCAGAGGATTGATCTAATTCTCCTCTGAAGTGGGGAATACGCCTTCGCTTCTTCATGCTTGAGCCCCAGCAAGGTTCAGCTGTGGTCCTCAGCCACTGTAGAAACGGCAAAAACGACCAACAGCAACAGTTCCCATGGACTTGTTCTGAAGTCCTACTCAGAAACTTCTTTTCTAGAGCTTGAAGTAACCTCCTGTTCTGGCTCATTGAAATTCAGTGCTGAACAGACCTCTGTAAGGCATGTGATGCCTTTCCAGTTGCCTACCAACTGCTAGCGCTGTTATTTGATGAACAACTCTGATAAGCTCTTGAAGAGTTGAGAAGGGAAGATTGAAAAAGCCATTTTTTGTTCATCTTTAAAATTAATATCCTTCAACAGTGACACTTTCCAGTTAATTAAATGACCCATTAAGATAAAAAAGTTCATGTCTTAGAACATCCTACTGATGACTGGAGATTGTATGAAGATCTGTATTGAAGATCTTCTGATTGTATTGAAGATCTGCTCCTGAATTGTGAAGCCCCAGATGGACCTTGATTTCTTGCCCTCATTACAGGTGCAGCTCTGAAGGCATTTTGTCATCTTGTGGAGCTCAGTGCATGTGAAACCAGTGTGGCTCAATCAACTGGGTTTGAACAGGAACGCACAGACAAAATGTGTTTTTGTCTATAACCAATATAAGAAAATACGGGCTCAGCTGTCAGGAAAAAAATGATAGTAAGGGAGAATACAATATTAGAGTGCCTTTGAGAATTATCTTAAGGATAAAATTCCTTCTGTCTTCTGCGTCATAGTATGGGGGTTTTTTCTCCTTTAAACAGAGATATTTTGGTGGATTGGGATTCTTACAGCCCTAGTATGGAAGAGCTTTAGCACTGATGCACAGGGCAGGGAGCGTGGGTTTATCTAAAAACTTGGAATGTCTTGGCAAGAGTCTCTTTAAATTGGGAAGAAAACCAATTTAGTTTCTCAACAGAGCTGTAAATTGAAAATGAGCCTTTTCCAAGAAGAGAGCCAACATCATGGCTGATGAGAGTCCAGCATGTCCAATCTGTTTCAATTGGCCCTCTGCATGCCAAGGAGGAGCCTGAGGAAGAGGAGCCCTTGGCTGGGACAGCGAGCAGCTTCACTCTTGACCCGAAAGGTGGCCATGGGTCCCTGCCGCGAGTCTGCGCGCGGGCTGTGCTCCATCCCCCGTCACCAAAAGCACAACCAAGTGTTGTCCTACATACGATACAGGGCTGGAAGATGGACACCTCTGCATGTGCTGCAGGGAGCAGCATTTGTAGTGACTGAGGATCAGTTTTTCCCTTTTTATTAGTCCCCAGCTGGTCTGGGATGAGCAGGAGCTGCTTGGGGAGCCCAGGAGTGCCCTCCTGAGATGTGTTATTTGTCATTTACAGCCGAGGTACAGCACAACCAGAGCCAGACCTTGCTGTCCCCTCTCCTCTGTCTCTTCTGCATATTGCTCCGTTGGTTTGCTCTCCAGTTTGGATGTTGATGATCTTGAGTGGGAGAAGATTTTATGACCTTGAAATACTTATTTCTGGCTAAGATGATTCTATTTGGGGTTTTAGGGTGGGTTTTTTTCTTTCCATTTTATAGATAGTTTTACTTGGTCACTGAAAATCTATCTGCTGTAAGCCACTACTGGTTTTGCTGGTTAAGCTGATGCCTTGCTAACCTCACAAACGTTGCTGGTAGCTTCAGTTTAGATCAGCACTTTATCCAAGATCCCACCAATCCATAGAGAAGCTGCATGGGCAGGGCAGGAGGTGCATGCAGGGAGAAGGAGCTGGTTTGGGTGGGGAGGGAACAGAGCTTTGCTTCTCATGGCAGAAAACAGGATTTTCCTCAGTTTGGTCTGGGTTAAAAATAGCATTGCCTCTGCTGCTCATACAGTATGGGTTTGTCCAACTTTTATTGACTTATCTCAAACTGTGATAACTGAGACTTTTGAAAGAGAAGTTCAAGTTTAAAAGGTGGGACTGTTAAATTGATGCACCTGGTTTCTGATGGTGTAAGCCACAGCACTTCATTGTGCTCAATCCAATAGCTGAAGTACATGTTCTGGAAACTCATCACATCTTGATTTGAAGTTTTCCAAAGATGGACGTACCACATTCCTCAGAAATTTGATCCAGGGTTTAATTGTTGCCACCATTTAAAAAAAACCCAAAAGGTATTTTTCATTTGAATCATTAGGCTGGTTCTTGCAAGAAGCCCTTTAATACTCTTATTTCTTTCATTGGTAGTACTTGTTCAACATGATTTTTCAGAACCTTCATTATGAAGTGAAACTCTTCATTTCATTGCAACTGAGTATTTGCCAAATCTTTTTTTTCCCCTTTTACTTGGGAATCACTGTGTCTCTAGAAGTACATGGGTTTGGGACTGTATTTAAAAGAGGCACTGCTGGCATTAGAGGTTTTGCCACCCCTTTTCGGGACAGCTCAGTCCTGCATGGGCCAGGTTCATTCTTGATGCTAATTCAGTTTCACTGAACTTCTGTGAGGATTACGTTTACACTAGTGCAACTCCCCTGAAATGCAAACATCATAGAAACCCTGAAACATCTGGCTGTGGCTGCGGTGGTGTCTCTTTCAGAGGGCTGAGGCTTCCCAGGCTGAATGGGCAAACCTTCCTGAATGGGTACAAGTAATCTGTTATTACTTTTTGTTGCCATATATAATTCCTACTGATTTAATTCTGTCATGCAGAAAAACAATAACTTCCAGGCAAGATTAAGACCTGTCTAAATTTGAAGGTTTTGCAAGGGGAAGACAAAGACATCCTGTTTGGGTGGTCATACCTGCTCAGGCAGATCTTCCCCTCCTTTTTTTTTTTTTTTAAAAGCCAAAGGTCTTCACTTTTGTAAAAACACTGAAAATTCAAATTAATTGGAGGCTTATTAAAGGAAATCTTGATCTGCTGTGGAAAATTAAGAAAATACGTACTGAATGTTTCAAAATGAAATGAAGTTGAGACTGTGGAGTTGACAATTTAATTTCTTCCTGGGCATGGTGAACTTTCTCCTTGATTCTCCAGGTACAGATTTCTGTTGACATCAACATAGAGTAAATAAGAGCAGGGCTGGTCTAGATTGTGGCTGGCCAGCCCTTGCATTGTGGACTCCTTCAGCTGTGTACAGATAGCCCAACACACACAGCATTGGGCTCTTGGTCTCTGTGTGTTGCAGACTGCAGAAAGCTCAGGAGGAGCATCGCTCTGTGGAGGTGGAGAAGGTGCACCTAGAGAAGAAACTGCAAGACGAGATCAGCATTGCCAAGCAGGAGGCACATCGGCTCCGAGAACTGCGGGAGGGCACAGAGAATGAACTGAGCAGGCAGAAATACGCTGAGCAAGAACTGGAGCAGGTAAGGGTTCAGCCAGATGGATGCACTTATGTATGAGACATGCCAGCAAGAACAGTAGGCAGTTCCTCACTCTGCTTCATCCTTCTGAGAAATCCAGTGATGTTCTGCTTATAATGCTCTTCCACTTTTGCTTTTCCACTCCCCTTTGTGGAGGAAAAGGTCCAAGTATTTATTCTGCTACTCCACGTTACACATCCCCCATACAGATAACAGTGCTGCTTGTGTGTTGGGTAGCAGGGACCGGGCAGGTGCTGTCTCAAGAGCCATGTGCTGCCACCACACACATCATCCCAGCTTGCCATGCAGAAGGAGAGGTATTGAACTTGACCTGTAGCTGCACCCTCTGATGACTTCTAACTCCCACTCCAAACCATAAGCTCTTTCTTTTTTAATTTGTATCTGTTCATGGTTTTAGGAGAATTTATAATGAGTTTGGTTGTTCTTACCATGTTTTCTTGTGGATCAGAGAGGTGTACAAGAGAAATTTCCTTCCAAGGAAATTTAGCACTAGGTTAGAATCTGTACAGCAAAGTTAGAGTTCATATGCAGTTCTCAAAAAGATTAGTTTTAAATTCAGACTAGCAGGAAAATATGTCCCCAAGTTATATCTTGCAACGTAGGCCTGGGAAGAATATTGTGTATAATGCTGCTGCTGGCAAAAAAGAAACATGTTTGGTATATTACCAATTTAAACTGAAATTGTGTGAGCCAGAATTGCATGAGCCAAGCGAGTACCATGGATATTCTGAGGCGATCAGCATATCCTCCCAACCTGACTATGTGCAGGCTTTTATGCCACCACGGAGGATGCAGAAGAAAATGAGGCAAGAATCTAGGGTTTCCACTGACAGGGGGGAAGCAAGTGTCCTGGGCCATCAGGTAACCAGGGAACTATGAGGCAGTGCAGTCTAGGTATGCAAATAGTCAGCAAACAGCAAATTTCCTTCCTGCTTGGAATACCTACTGCCCAGACATCTGCAGGCACCTGTTACCAGCTTTGCTCTCGTGATCCAGCATAATTCCTCCTAACTTGTCATCCAGCCTCTCCACAAAGTTACTGAGCTCCGTTTCAGGACACGCATTGGGACATCCGTACTCATGCACACGGAAATTCAGTCATTTTGTATTGTGGGCCATTAAATAAGGATGTGTAGCCTTCCTCTTGTAACCCTGAGCCCTTGTACCCGACCTGCTCCTGGCTTTTGGAGAAGGCACGGTCTCATCCATTCCACTTCCCTCTCCACTTTACATTTGTGAAGAAACCCAGAAAGCCAGAGGTGACTTAACCGCTCTGTTGTTTCTTAGAGGCCTTCGGGAGGGATGCATTGACAGGGTGAGTATTGGTTTTACCCACCTGACCCACACTGTGTGATTATAACACGATCACCATCCCAGTGAGCTGTAGACCACGGACAACATTAACCAGTCACTCCCACTGACCGTAAAACTCATTCGATTTTAAGATATTCTGGGGTCCCAGGGAATATTAAAACAAGACCTTTTGCACCAGTTGATTCTTATCACTAAAATGATACTGGAGGGTTTGGAAGCTCCTACTGGAGTCAGGCTTATGAGATGGAGAAGCAGTGTATTTCTGGGATGGGACTCTCCCATACTGGGTTGTTCATACCGATCCTCTCTCCTCGTTAGGTCATCTTCCCCCAGACCGTGGACCCAGCTGTGGCTGCAGACCCAGAGGGCATTCCTCGCTTTATAAATTGTTGCTCTTTGTGGTCAAAATGGGGTCTTAGAAATCTTGACAGGAGAATGTAGACACACTAAGTGACTCCTATTGATACTGATGCCCCTGCAGAACCAAGAGGGTTTGTGTTTTGGACACTGCTGTATGATGGCTCATCTCAGCCACTGGTCCTTGGCTGTTGTTCTGCACCGCTTCCCTTTTCCACCATTCCATAAAAGTGTTGTTCCTGTAAATGTTTTGAGCACTCCTCTACCCCAAATACCTAGTGGCAGATTTCCCGTATTCCTAAATCCCAGATGCTTGCGGATCGCGGTCAGAGTTTTGCCTGGGGTGGGAGCAGTGCCCAGTGCTGCTGGTGTCAGAGGGGAAAAAATAGGCCTTCCTGGGGTCTGCGATTCTGAATTTGTAACTTTTTGAATGATTTAGGCAATGTTATGCTCAACGAGACTAAATCACACATAAGTGATACAAGTAGTTGACCTCTTCTGTACGGTGCCTCCTGGCTACTTCTAGATGGACTGTGCAAATGTCCTCCTGGATAAAATATGGATTTTCAAAGTATCGTGTGTGTGACCTGCTGCTTTTGGCTCACTAGAAATTACGCCTATGCCAGACTTGGTGAGACGTGACTGAGTTAAATAACACGTTGAGGGAAAAGATCCAAGTTTGAGCAATTTTTTAAAAAAATGCTTATCTTCAGTCCGCTTGTGGCTGTGCTGTGTGGGAAACGGAGAGGCACTGGTACCAGGCAAGGGTGGGTGTAAACACAGTTGTGGGAAGAGTGTTTTGGGCATTGGGAAGCGTGCACCAGGCATTGGTGCGGAGCCTGAGCAGGTCGCTGGATACTCCCGCTGCCTCTGCATTTCTTAGACCTGAGCCCTAAAGAATAGAAAGAGAAAATAGGACAGGCATCATCCCAGTGACACGTGCGCAGCCCTGACTGCGTAGCTGGCCGTGCTGTAGCTGGACCTTTCCTCCCAGCTCCAACTCTGTTGGGAGAAGGTCTGCATTGGTGGGCCAGCGTTTTTGAGGCAGTGAAAGCTCTTGAAGGTGCTTAGGGTTGGCTTTTATTTTAACAGCAAGAAAGTCTGTTGTAGAGTGTATAACCACGTATACCCCTCCTGAGGTTTGAAGTGCTGTGGTTGGAGAGTAGTCCAGTCCACGACTGTTGTGCTGTCCCTGGATTGCAGCAGCTCTGAGCTGCAGTTGCCATCCTTTGGTTTCTCTGGTGTGGGACATGTTAACTTCTTGCAGGGCTTGTGTTAGACTTCAGGTTTATTAAAGTCTCTCCATATCACGTGTAATGGAAGAGAAGTGTTAATTATTGATGGTCTCTAGCACCACATACTTTTATGTAAGGTTTTGGTGTCTTCAACTTGCTTGTCACCCACTTTCTTCTAATTTTGTAATCGTTCCCTTCTCCAGCAAGATAAGTAAGTGTGTGGAGGAGACCAGACCGATGGTGTGTGGAGGAGACTGAGCTGGGGTGGAAGGAGAGTCCCCCAGAAAGCTACAGAAACTGCTGATTCCAGACGTGTTACTTCTTTTCCTGACCAAGCAGCACATGTTTTGTGTCTAAATATTTTTATCATCTTGCTCCAGTGTGAAAGTTGTCTCTTGACAAGCTCCCTCTGTTTGGCTCAGTAGCTGCAGTGAGAAAAAGCGATTGCCTGTGCAGCGTTGTCAGCGATTCTGCCTCAGGAGGATAATCTGTGAGTTTCACAGACCTGCAGGCAGGCAGCGAACTTTGCAGAGATTTCTAGAGGCTACGATAAGCACCCTGAATATCCTTACCTAAAGTCTAATTCTCTTTTAACTAATTCGTGCATCGTGCTGTCAGCTCTGGAGGGTTTACCTGCAGTTTATGCTGTTGTGAGGTAGAAGAGCTGACGTGAAGGGGTAGACCATGTCAGTGATGAACTTACCCTCCCTGATAGCTGAGGTGCTAAGGCAGGACAGCATCGCGATGGTTGGAAATTTTTGAGGAAGGAGCTCACCTTTAGGATGAAAGGAGAGCACCGTAGGGTGTTCTGGTCATCCGAGCGGCAGCCTTGCCCTGTTGGATGGCTTTCCTGCTGCACTCCTCTCTCTCACTTGCCCGCAGTACCAGGATGCCACCTCTCCTCCTGATGACTTTTGCTTCTGTCATGAGTAAGATTAAGTTGCGTGGAGTCTTTTTTTTTTTTTTCCTTCCTTTTTTCTGGTATCTTAAAAGCCCCGGGGTGGCGGCCAGTGGCTGGGATGACCTTGTGGGAGGGCAGGCTCTCCCTGCCGCTGCTGCAACGCCACGCCGGCCGGTTCTCCCCCAGGTGCGGATGGCACTCAAGAACGCTGAGAAGGAGCTGGAGTCCCACTGCAGCTGGGCTGCGCCCGAGGCCCTGCAGAAGTGGCTCCAGCTGACCCACGAGGTGGAGGTCCAGTACTACAACATCAAGAAACAGAATGCGGAGAAGCAGCTGCTGGTGGCCAAGGAAGGGGTGAGAATTTCAGCATCTTGTCCCGGGTCTTCCCCTCGCAGCCACGGGAAAAGGTTTGGGGAATGAAACCTGCAGAGTTGGTTTCTCTGCACCTCCTTTATTTGCCTTTTAATGCCTTAAATTTGCTTTTTTTAAAGTGCAGCACAAACCTTCATAGAGATGTAAGTAGGGGCTGAAAATGATAATAAGCGATCGCCTCTCAGGGCATGGCAGGCCCTGACCTGGGCATGCCCGTCAGCTGCGTTAGCCTGTCTTCAGTAGGCTGGAGCCCTGGGAATGTGCAGAGTATGAATTGCTGCCTGTGCGACAGCACTGTGGGTAGTCAGTAAGCAGAAGGTTTTGTACCTATTAAGTATAATCCCTGCTTCAGGTGATTTACATGCACAGGCAACAAAATTTCTAACATGCGTGCAATCTGTAGTGATGAATCATTTCTGTATTCTCAGTTGTTTCAAATTTTCTGTGCCAACCAAAAAGTGATGAGCTGCAGGGAAGCTGTCGAAACATGTATTTTTCTCTCTGGACGTACACAGCAGTCAGAGCTGGCAGCATAGAAAAATTTGTCTGCCTTAATATTTTTTTATTCTGAACATTTTAACATTTCAATGGTTTTCCTTTTGCTGTGTCAGTTCTTGTGTCTACATCCTTGGTTTGTCTTTTGTAAGTCTCAAGTTACTGCCACTAGATCTGTGAACCAAAGAGCTGTGTGTGGCAACTTTAATTTTGAGTATACACTGTGCCACAACAGGAAGGCAAAAAAACAAACCCCAAAACAAAAACCTCCCCAAACCAACAACCCTAGGGCATTAACAGTGTTTCTCTGATAGTTTACTCATGGGAAAGACAAAACAAGGCTTTATGACAGAGCCATTTGCTGTATGAAGTAGCTGGTTCAGTTCTCTGACTCTTTGGAAATCACAAGGGCCAAGGAGGAGCATGAAACCCCCAACCTTCTTAGTCACTGCTGGTGAATTCCTCACCCACCATGCTAGGAAGAATAACATCCTTCAGTAAAAACCCGATTCACACTATTTACATGTGTGCAAACAGCTGCAGGGACTATTTCTGTCTCAGCCCATCCAGGATGTTCTTGTCCTGGAGGAAACATAAGGTTGTCTTCTTCCTGTGACCTTTTTCTGTTGATGTTCCAGGCTGAAAAAATCAAAAAGAAGCGAAACACCCTGTTTGGAACATTTCATGTTGCTCACAGCTCATCTCTAGATGATGTTGATCATAAAATCTTAACTGCAAAGTGAGTATCTACTTATTATCTTCCCTTATTTCTGCCTGCCTTTTTCACCCCTCTTCCTATTACAGGCACAAGCATACTGTAGCCTGTACAGGTGCTCTTGGTCTCATTTTGCTGAACTTTTGTTCTCTTTACTTTAGTTAGCTGGGATTGGACTTGCTTCTTTTAGTCAGTAACCTTTTAATTTTATCTCTGTGAAACAAGAAATCGCAGTTATCCAGAGCAATTAAAAGTCCTGTCAAAATGAGCAATTGGGGGATCACAGTATTCTTAAGCGATTATCCCTGGATATTTCAGTTGTTGCTGGTTTTTTTTAATTCCTGTACTCCTGAAAGTGGAATGAAAGATGTCTCAAGTATTAGGATACAAAGCTGAACCACTAGACTCCCTGTTTCAGACAATTTATGGTGTCTTTTTCCTTCACTCCCCACATTTTTCCTTGCTTGAACCTTGCTTCCAGGCAAGCGCTGAGCGAAGTGACGGCTGCGCTGCGGGAGCGCCTGCATCGCTGGCAGCAGATAGAGCTGCTCTGCGGCTTCCAGATCGTCAACAACCCGGGCATCCACACCCTGGCATCAGCCCTTAACATTGACCCCAGCTGGATGGGCACTCCGCGGCCTAACCCCTCACACTTCATCATGACTGATGATGTGGACGATTTGGATGAAGAGATCGTGTCTCCCATGTCCATACAATGTACGTAGTCTGTGTTAGCTACGTGTGGTGAGTCTGCATCTGCTGGGTGCCGCAGCATAGGGCGGACATGGAACAGTAGTTCAAATATGTTAGGAGGAATTAAGGTATCTAAGTTAAAGTTTAAATGACCAAAGACAAATTGTTAGTTGTTAAGGGTCAGGAATGTCCATAAGTGCTAGACCACCACTGCTGGGGTTGCTTGGAGCCTGTTAATTCCAGCAGAACTAGTAATTTGTAGATGTTATTAGTCATCATTTAATCATATGTATGCTGTTGCGTTCAACTCACTGAATTTAAGCATTTACAAAAAAAAAACCAAAGGCATGGGCTAGACCCACAGAAGTGAGAGAGGAAAACAAAGTACATTTTCCTGACGTCCCTGTAACTAGAACACTTGTTCAGGACATAAAAGGACCTGAAGACACCCGCTCCTCAAGCACGGCTTTGGACTTGCACCTCCTGCCATTCTGTATGGGGAGGAGCAGTCTGCTGTGGTGATGCTGCCTACCTGTAACGACCTGTTAAACATTTCCTGGAGCAAAGACTGAAACCTCAATGCCCCATCTCCTATGCATGTCTTGTAGTCACCAAGGTGGGTGTTCACTCCCTCTTTAGCAGTGACTGTTTGTATACAAAGTGCATCGACTCCTGTAGGGAGGAATGGGGCTGCTGGAAAGGGAGGGTGGACGATTCTGCTCTCATGAGCCCAGATCTCTCAGAGGAAGGGACTGAACTTGAGTCACCCTGTGCCTGTTACTCTCTCAATTGCTGAGCTCTTGGATTAAGTGAAGGTTGTCTCCTTCTCCATGAAAGGTTTGTGAATCAGTCCTGGCTACTGTTCCCATGTTAAACTGACCCAGATTCGGTCTTGCTTCTCTCAAAAATGCACTTTCCAAATACAGTTTCCTATCTCTAGCTATTGCACAAGAGAATGGGAGAACTGAGGAGCAGTTCCAGACACTCCGCCACAGTGGTCTGGGTGGCACAGGGAGCAGCACGTGGCTGGAGCACAGCTTTCTGAGCTCAATCTGGGAGAGGGGAGCCCGTGCCGACAGCGTTAGCTGCAGCAGTCTTTTTAGTTAAGTCTGATTCGGGTCACTTTCTAGTGAAGACTTCATCAAAAGTCTATTTAACTGGGTAGAAGGTGGGGAAGAGGAACAGAAGAGTGTTGGGGTTGGCAGTGTGCGCTGCAGGAGATGCCTGTACGTGCCATTGCCATCCTCGCCTCGTGGTCTTGGGCTCTGGTTAGATGTTGTGACGGTCTGGAGGTGAGTGCTGAGGTCAGGCTCAGGACGATGAAGGCAGAGCACTGAGGATTTGGGTAGCTTGCAGGATGGTAAGGCAGGAGGAACTGGGTATGTGCATGTTTCCAGGCCTCAGCAAACACAAGGGTTGGAGCTAGCAGTTTATGGGATTGGGTGTGCATAGGGAAGGTTTAAAGCCTCAAACAGATAATGGTGTCCTACTAGTCTTTGTGATTATCAGTTACCATTAGAAACCAAGCTAGACAGCTCCAATAAAACAGTTGCAAAGACGCAAGTGAGGTATTAATGAGAGAGGGATGTCTGAAGAAAAGCCCTAAGTAACACCTGAAGCACAGTCTCTGGAGGATGTGAGCTGTATGAGGCATGAGCCTTTATCTGAGATTTTAAGCCTCAGCTTCTTTGTGCCTTGCTTGGGACACCTCGAGTGAGATTCTTGCAGTGCGCACTTGCAGTTCCCGTCAGTCCAGTGATCAGCGGCGAGCCTGCCTGCCTGCGTGCCACAGCACTGATCTGCATCCCTGTGGGTGATAACTCCACGTAGCAAGCACTGGGCATCCAAGTTCCCAAAGCAAGGGAGCGTTTGCCTTTCCCTAGAGGATTTTTCTTTCTCTGTGTACAAAAACTGCTTCAGGAGAGAAGTGCAGAGATTTTCCTCCCCAGATGTGTTGGGGTTGTTGCTGACTGCCCATGATGATTCTTATGGTAAATCACATTTTTCTCTCTCCCATTCACACCTGGTTGGCCCATCCCAGATGCAGCCTGGCTTTTCGGGCGCAGGTTCAGTGACCGCTCGTCTCTGTCCTCGGAGGATCAGTCCCTCTGGAAATACCCTGGTTTGGTTCTCTTCAATTATATTTTAATTTTTTGTTCTACCCTCTGCCCTTTTTCTGGACTAAAATACATACACAAATTTTCCCACTTTCTGGCACAGAAAACTAATGAATCTGCCTCTCTTCACTGAGTCATCAGTATCTTTACTAACCCCGGGGAAGAGTCTGGTGGGATGAAGAAGAATCACAGTTCGCTGTAGTTCCCATGTGCTCTTGGGTTTTGCTTTTTTTAAAAAAATCCAGTTATGAAATCTGGAGGGTTGATTTTACTTGTTTTTACCCCTGAGGTGGAGATTAAGGATTCAGGCTAGGCCAGGAGGAGGTGATAACGTTCCCTTTCCCATCCCACCTCTTTCTTTGCACAGGCTTTGCTTGCAGCCCCTCCGCTGCCAGCTGAGGCTGACCCCAATCCTTCCCTGTGGGGGCTGCTGCCGACTGCCATGCCTTTCTTCCCTCAGTATCCTTAAATAAATTGAGCAATGCCACTTATTATGCTAATCTGTCCCCTGGTGCCCTGATGCTGGGGCTGTGGGGACAGCATGCTCAGCCCCAGAGACGCCGAGCCTCCTGTTTTTGGCTGGAAGCGTTCCCTTCACGGAGCGCTGCTGAACGCTAGCTGTTGTGGGATGGAGGAGGACAAGCACGTGCAGCAGCAAGCCAGGCTGTACACTGGTGTTGGTTAGGGCTTGCGTGGTGGTGGTCTTCCTCAGGATGATGAGCAGGTTATTTGGCTAATGTTGATAAAACATGTGCAGTGTCTGGAGTGAGATGGTCTTCGTGGGATGTGAGGGGCTGCTGTGGCTGTGCAAGGTGAGGTCTCAGCCTTTGGTCCAGTGCTTTTATAGCAGGGTAAATTGTGCAAAAGGAGAACGCAAAGGGGTAAGGTGTCAAGTTGGTAAATGAGGAATAGAATGCCAGGAAAAAAAACCCAACAAACCCCTTAGGGAAGAAAGCATGGCCCAAGAGAAAAAGAAATCTGTAGCAGAAACCCATAATCCCCCCGTTAATTATTCTGTAGAGCTTGGATCCCTGTTAGCCCTCCAAACTGAGACTCCTAAACTGTATCCCTGCCAGCAGCAGGCAAGTAGGGATCAGCTGTGCTATTCCTGTCTGTGCTGCCTTAGTTAGCAGCAGTTGCTGCTGCAAATGCACAGCAGGGGAGCTGGAACAGCCTCCAGTTCTGCCCATTAACACTCTCACCCTCACCTCCTCTGATCACTTTTCTGCAGTCCCCACCAGAGCAAGGGGTTTTTTTCCACCTTGACTCCGTGTGACTCGATTTCACTTAATTTCAGCTCTGGAGCTCTTGAGAGAAAAAAAAAAAATCTTGAAATAGAAAGTGGATCGTATAAAGAGCTCCAGCAAAAGAAAGGTTCGTAGATGGACAGTGTAGTAAAGCAAGAAGTAGCAAACCTGAGCGGTGGGACCCTGCGAGAGAAACTGTGATTAACCTTGGGGATGTGGAAACAGCAAAGTTGACTGAATTATTCTTGCTTGTTCCTTCTTCCACTTGAAATACGTCCCAGCAGTGATGCTTCAGTACCTAAGTTGTTGCTGTCAGTTGAGCTGCAGGAGACTCGTGTTTCCTCGCTGTATGTTTTTATAGCAGTGATTTGCTGGTTCTTCGATTCCCGAAGGAGCTCTCCTTCTACTCCATTTCTTAGCTTTCCTGTCTGTTCACCTTTTTAACCCATTTTTACATTTATTTCTTATGTATATAAGAAATCCTGAACAATCCTGAACACCTTATCTCCTGCAAAAGAAGGAACATCTTGTATGGAAATTACAGCTAGTGGGTTAAATACAACCAGTCTGGTTGTCTGCAGGATGGCGATACAGCTGAGTGGATCCTTAGTTTTCCATGTGTAATGCTCTGCCTGATGGAGATGAGCGTGCAGAAATCTCCATGTAGATGAAGGTGCCTCCCTCTGCCTTTCTAATGGTGACTCCCTGGTTCCGGCTCAGTGTGTAGGTGTGGTACAGGGGTAGCGTAGGCTTGGTGCAGAGAGAACTGGCCGACCTCTCTGGCCTCTGTTACCTGACAGGAAAGACTATGTGGCCAGAAAGATCATTATGATCTTTAAAAGCTGTTAATTAGCTGGTGACGGTGCACTGAAGGAGGCAGTCCAATTTGTTTCTCTAAACCAAGATGAATTTGCAATTACAGAAAAATATTTTTCAAATCGAGTGTCTCTTTGATCAGTGAGCTAATTATCAAACAGACTGGAAACAGATGATACCACTTTTGGACCAGAGCTATAATTTCAGGCGTGGACTGATGATGAAAGCCTGTGCCTACCCAATTAATATCATAGTTACTATACACCTGTCATGTGTCCCGGCTGTTCTGCCCTGCAGAAGGGTACACAGCTGGGAGGTTTCTGCATCTTCATAGAGGCTGTCCTGTGCCTGAACACAAAGTGCAGCTGTACTTCGCAACCCTGCTTTCTGTCCTGCATTCCTGCGCCTTGCTCCAGGAGTTGCACCAGCACAATGATGCTGGAAGCAGGAGCAGAGCCGAGCTCCGGGAATGGAGCTCACCTCGCTGGCTTTAGGTGCCTACATTTGAACTGATCACCGGAGGCTCCTTTTTTTAGGCTGTGTAGGGAAATAGAAGTGCCAGAGCATGAAGCATCTGAGCGATTTGGATGTCTGCGTTAGGATGAAATGAATCATGCCCTGAAAGTACTGACTTGTTCACGTTTACTATAAAGGGAGCCTGGGTGGTAGCTCTGATGTAAAGTTGGGTAGGATGAATCATGCAGCCAGTTTCTGCTTCAAGCAAGATGATCAGATAAGGTGTTCAGAAAGCACCTATATCAGGAATGGCAAACAGAGTTTTTCATGGGCTGGGCATTAATCTAGCATGTTAAGCAGTAGCACCAGCTTAATGCTCATCTGCATTAAACCAGGGTAACTTATAGCACAAGGTGGGATGGCTGCAGTGGTCCGAGCAAGTGTCCCGGTGACAGAAAGCATGGTGCTGCGGTGCGTAGTCCTGGCTGTGGGTGGCAGTTTTATTGCGTTGCCTCCTCGCTGATTTGATGTGCTGCCTTCAGCATTCTCCCCTTTCTCTCATTACAGCTCCTGCCTTGCCCAGCACAGTTCGTCAGCGCCTGGTGGACCCACAGCACGCCCATGGATCTCAGAGGTTGGTAGAGAGTTACGTGCAAGGCCAGAATGAGTCGGGCCAACCTGCCCATTACTGGGCAGGCAGAGTCTCTCTCCGTCGAATGCACAGCCTCTCCTCTGGACAGTCTTTCAGTTCCGACCTTCCCAGCACCAGCCCACCATCTGCTGCCACCACCACCTCTTCCACCTCTTGCTCCTCATCCACCACCACTGCATCTGCTCCTGCTTGCCATGTCCACCCTATCTATTACCATCACACCACCTCCTCTTATTTCCTTCAGATGGACTCCATCCCTGATCTACCCCCTCCTGATGTCACCTCTGGAGTTCGCTGTCGCACTGAAAGCTTTGGGTATATTGCTGTTTCTTTTCTAGCTCCCTCTTGCCTGCTGTGTCTCAGAGCTGATGCTTGCTTGGGTGCTCTTTCTCCTAGATTCCTTGTGCCCTTTCCTTTTGGGCCTTTATTTCATTATTTATCCACGTTTGTTTCTTCAACCGCTCTCCCATGCCGGTGGACCCTCTAAGGAGTGCTCCATGGTCCATTCCCATATCTGTGAACTCAGCAGGTGCATAAACCATGGAGGTGCTGTTGTTTAACTGTAGCTAAGCAAATGAGAATTCCTGGGCAATCGGTTATCTCTAAATAAGTCAGTCTTGGGTAATGCACCTGTGAGAACAAAGGTAACACAACTAATCAAACAAACACTGACCTTATTTGAAGCCTTGACTTATTTGGGGTCTTCACAAGCGAATTGCAAAGGAAACATGATGGGTAGATACTGTGAGATAGTAGTTGGTGCTGCTGAAGGGTTTGAAATTCGTGCTGTTTTTAAGAGATGGCAAAAAGCAGGATTTAGGAATTCCATGTTTCAGAGTGTCTCTCAACCTCTGTTTTGCTAGGGGATGAAGCATGATTGTGTTTTGGCTAAGGAATGTCTGAATAATGAGGAGGGAGTTGGTGCTTCTTATGCTGGATCACTGGCTTTAACTTGGTCACTTTCAGTAGTAACAGCTGGTGAGCGACGGTTCTTTGGAGACCTATGTATGATAGGATCCAAGGGGCTAGTTGTGATCCACATCCCTAAATCCCTGACCTCTGCTGATTCACCCTGCCGGCATTAGAAAGGCGAAGGACTGGGTGGGCCATAGATGTGGGAATCCTGTCTGCTCTAACTGGGGTGCTGCGAGGGGGCCTCCGGCAACCGTCCCCATTTCAGAAATGTTCTGTAGCCCAAGCAGAGGATCATGTTGCTTGGGCGGCCTGGGGTGGCTTTCTTCCAAACAAGGTCCACAGGCAGCAGTCATTGGATGTCCTCACCCCACGTGGGTCGTGGATGGACCCAGCTCCAGAGTGCGGTTTGAGACTGCGTCCATTCAGATGCTTGATTTAAACCCTCGGCTAAGGGGTGAGTGGCGAGTCTGGTTTGCGTGGTCTCTGGTTCAGGGGCATCGCAGGCACTTGGTGTGGAGGTGTCGGCGCTGAAGCAGATGGTGGAAGGGCTTTGATGGGCCATCAGGGGAGTCCTGTCCTCCTGCCCTGCCGGGGAGCTGCCTCTGACTGTGGCCAAGTCATTTCATCTCTCTGTTCTGCGTTTTCTCCTTGGTAAAATTAAAAATAGTCTCCTTATCCACAGCATTAGGGAAAAGGCTGGAAGTCTCTCAGTGAGGAAGTCGATGGGGACGATGTCCTTTCATGTTTATTTATCCAGGCAGGACAACATTCCAAGTCACCACATCTTCATTTGTCCCAGCACGTTGTACCATTATTCCTTTATCTGTAGGTACCTTTGCCCTCAGCCGTAGGTTCTCTCCTGACATCATTTACACAGTCTCTGTTTTGGATGTCTCACCCCCTTGCTAACTTGTGTGTCTCAAAGCCAGGCTGCCTGCGGGCTGCCCGCTGGACCAGAGCATCCCTGAGCCCAGGCTGCAAGAAGCAGCACATGTAAAGCCCTGAGCAGCCCCAGGCAGATTATGGATTCTGGAGTATTGGGGCAGGGGGAAATTACTGCACCTGCTCCACAATGGACAATTAAAGAGCAACGTCTTGGTTAATTTAGTAATGTTTGCTTTGGGATTACGAGAAGCAGCATGATTAAAATTTAGATTAATTACTGCCAATTTGAGTTCAGTTGCAGCTGTCCCAGTTTGACTGATAAAAGCTGGGAATGCTTCTGGTAACATTGCACAGTCCCTGTTTACCATCGACCTTCTTGTCTCTGTAGAAAGGAGGGCTTGTCCTGGGAGCTCGAAGGCTGATGTACTGTTTCAAAAATAGCTGTATAAACATGATTTTTTTTTTTTTTTTTTTCAGCTGAGACCTGTGATACACTTAATTGCTGACCAGGTTGAAGTCTCAAACCTGTAGACTCCCCTGAGAGTGGCAGAGGGAAATGTAGTGTGACTTTGGGATCCCCATTAGAAAAGACAATGATGCTGAGAGGTCATTAGGAGAGAATAACTGGGGTCTTCTCCTTATTCCCCATGGGCACTTAGTAGTTTGTCAGAACGTAATTGGCCACCGTTCAGTGGAAGATAGGACTGTTTTCTCCCTGTTCCCACAATAAAAACCACCTGTTGATGCAGGATAATTGATTTAGCAATGGAGTTTTGCAGAGTAAGAACTTCTCACATAAGATTTGCTTCAGCTACACAATAGCAGATGACTCCAAAATCCATGCTCATTCATTTTCTGTTCATTGCAGAAAACAGAAATGAAGAATTGGGTGCCCAAATGTGTTCTTGCTTTGTTGCTTTTAATTTTTTGTCAAACTGCATCGTTAGCAGATGCCGCTTAGATGCATCTCTTTAAAAATATTGCCACGAGGGCATGCCACAGCACAAGCCAATGTATTGCTCTTTCCTTTTTATATAACCAGTCTTGGAGGCCTTTACTTACATCCCTCGAGCTCCACAGCCTCCCAAAGAGGCAAGCAGAACAGATGGGGAAGCTAAGGCTGAGAAAGGCCTTCCAGGGAGTCATTGCCAAGGACAAGAACGGAACCCAAAAAATTCCTGGCTCCTGGCTCCCTTGGTAGGAGGAGAGTGCTACCTTGAGTACTTTGGGCTGCTGGATCGCTTTAGCCTCTCATATCCAGCAGATGCCAATGTTGGCGAGACCTCGCAAGAGAAATCGTCTCAAACGAGCCGTTCCCCCAGAGAAAGGCTCGGGGATCTCTTCTCTCCCTGCAAGCTGTGTACGGTGCTAAAGTCTGCTGGGGGTTAACCTGGTAGGGACCTTCTCTCCAGGCAAGGCCAGCGCGTGGCCGGTGAATTGCTTTCATGAACTCCTCACTGTTTGCTTCTCTTTTGCAATTGGCTTCAGAGGATCCGGTGCAAATAAGGTCAGAGCTGTTCTGATTTTGAAGGCTGATGTGTGTTTTTTAATGTTAATGAAGTGGACTGGGTGTCCCTTGGGGGGAGAGGGGTTGGAGGGTGCTGTGTGCACAGAGGTTGCTGCTGCCAGTGCCTGCTTCAAGTGGTACCCATGGATAAACCTGATGGAGATGGGAGTGTAGGACCAAATCCCCATGCTGGTGGCCCTTTTCCAATGGGGAAGGGAGGTGGCAGCCAAAGCAAAAGGAGAGTGTCAGTAATCCAGTGAAAAGAGTAATTCACAGCTCTTACAGAATGGAAGGGAAGAAATGACTGTTGGATTTGCATTGTAGAGGCTGTTACTAAGCCTCTGACTGTGCCACGCGGAGCACAGCAGAATAACTAAGCTGTACAGAAAATTTCATTTTGCCTTAGGGGAAGCCTTTGCTGCCCTGGTGCCACATGCTAGCTAGGTATATAACGTATAGCCTTGCAGTTATGGGTGCTCTCAGTAAAGGGCAGGGAGTGGTAGAGGCAGCAAGGTCTGTATGAGGCTGGTAGACCAAGCCCTGCTTTAGTGTCAGACGCCCTTGAGCCACTCCTAAGCTTTCCTACAGCCCATGTCCTGGATTGTGCAGACAGCAGGAGCCCACCAGGAGAAATCATTCAATGGGCTGCAAAGATGAGGAAAAATAAATATTTATTTTGTATCATCATCCTGCCCTCTCCCCTCTTTCTCCACCACTACCAGTCTTTCTTTACTCCATGCTTTGCGCTATGCTTCTTTTGTTTGCAAAGTCAGTCCATTCCCATTTGCTCATCCTCTCTCGTTCACGGCGGTCGTTGCAGATTCTTGGGAGTGGCACGGTAGGAAGTGCAGGTGAAAGCAGATAAAGCAGCAGCAGTGCGCACATCCTGCCTTCACATAGGTGAATGCCATCGGCTTCGGTCTTCATAGATTGTAAGTGTGCCCAGCTACACTGAAAAGAAAGAAGTGAATGCCGCGGCAGTGCGGCTGGGATTGAGGAACATGCTGTCTTAAATGAGGCTCCCAGGTATTTTCATGTTCACTTGGTGGTCTGAGGTTTTCAGGAGGGATGAGCGTCCGGTATTTCCTGCTGCATCGCAGAAGCGCTTTCTCTGAAGGCACCTTCCCCTGCTTCCATCAAGGCTCGCTGTGTCCCGGGCCAGCGTTTCCTCTTGAAAATGTGCCATATCAATTCAGGAGCATAAGCCTCATGAAAATTAACAGGATATAGGCCAGCCCTTCTTGGCTGAGCCTTGCCCAAGATGACCGGCAATATTCTGGCAATGGTCTTTCCTCCCCTCTTATCCTGACACTGGGCTCAGGAGCATCCCCTCCTCCTTGGTTTCTCTGGCAAAGCCGGCATGCATGCCAGGGAGTCATGTCCCCATGGACACACACCTCCCCTGTCACACACTTACTTGTGGGAACCGCCAGAAAGGATCATTTGGGGTAGAAAGTCCCAGCAAAAGTTTCCAGCTGCTGGTGTTCAGCTCTAAAAATCAGTCCGTGCCCATGGGGATGCAGGAGGTCTGTCTCGGCATGTGCCCGAATGTCCTGGTCCAAAGGCTGTTGGCGGAGTTAATGGCCCAGCTGACCCCTTGGGTCATCCCTGGCGTGGTGAGTGCTCTGCTGTGTGCTGGCACATCGTGCCCGCGTCTCGGCTGCCGTGGGCTGAACTGCAGCTTCGCAGAGCAGCGTGGGGGCTGCTGCTGCTGGGGGTCTTCTCTGCTGCCCACTGCTGATGTGCCACTTGGTGTGCTGGTGTCAGCAGTCACAGTGTCTTGCCTCTACCCTTTGGGAATATATTCCTGAGTTACAGCTGGATAGATTATGAATAAAATGGGTTAGCTCAGCACCATTGGGATATGTGAAAAGTGTGTGCTCATAGGCTGTTTCCCCCTATCAGCTCCTTCAGTCCCCCTCTGGACAGCAAGCCGGCAAGCCCAGGGAGAAAAAATTGTGGTCCAACAAGGTTGGACCAAGGTAGCACCCAGAGTGGTGCCAGCCATCTGTGCCAGGGCAGAGCATCCCCAGGGAACAGTGGCAACAGCCATGCCTGCAATGGGGAGGTGGACCCCCGCAAACTGACCACTAACCCCTTGATGCCCAGGGACCCTTAGCTGCGGTGAGAGTGGTCCGAGGAGGAGATGTGGCAGCCATGCTGCACACCGGCATCAGCCAGAGGCAGCGTTTCGCCTCCATCTCCCCAGGGTGCAGGACCAGCTGTCCGAGGATCAGGATCAGGTTCCCAGTGTCTGCGCTTGGGGGAAGAAAATCCTCCTGGACCGGAGGATGTTTCTCCATCTGCTGTCGTCATTTTCTCCACACGCTGCTGTAGCCACAGGATTGCTTTTGTCTCCTCTGGATTTAAAACTCTGCAGGACCCTGTGACAGAGGGGGTGAGGCGTGCTGGATGGCCTCTAAGCTAACAGGCATTTGCAGATCTCAGCAGGGAGAAAACTCACCTTCTTCACAAATAAGTTGCTTTTTAAGTCACCTCAGTTAAAAAAAATATTTTTTTGCTGTATTTGGTATTGCCTCAGGGTTTGTTTTTTTTTAAAGGATTTCTTTTCACTGACCCCCACTCAGATACCTTTGTGATTATGGCAGCCAGTAGAAGGGTTGGGGTGATTTTTACCAGAAAAGAATATTCCTCCGTGGAGGTACAATGTTGAATTTCAAGCAAGCGGGCGTTACCATCTAAACCTGCCTTCACTGGCCAGGGTGCGCTGCATCCACACGATGCTCAGCCACTCTGTCGGGTGAACTTGAGCAGCAGGTGCTCAGCTCTTGCACAGTATTCCTTAGGGAGGTGGTCCTTGGGGAAGCGGTGGTCCAACCCTGCCATAGCGGCACACCAGCCTGACGGGATCAGCCAGAATGAGTCTGGAGTGGGTGCTGCGGACCTGCCTGCGCTGCCTGGAGGTGGTCCTGCCTACCCATAGTCCTGCCTCAGGTCAGCATCGTTTCCAGGCCAAGGTATTGCCCGGCTGCCTTCCCGTGCTGCCTCACCCGTGTGCCCGTATGGCAGTGGCTGAGCAGAGAGTCTGGATGGAGCCTTTTCCCCTGAACTGAACTCTGCAGCGAGCAGTGAGCAGCAGGTGCGTGGGCAGCAGGACGGGCAGCCCACGGGCAGCTCGGAAGATGCAGCTTCTGCAGTAGCATCGCTCCCTCTCCTCGGTGTGCTGGGACTGAGCACCGGCTGGGAGGACACACCGGCTGCTGCCTTCCCTTGCTCGGCATCGGTCAGCAGGGCTGGTGCCAAACCGGGTGGCCAAAGTCTGCTTTGTTTTCGTGGAAAGGGGACACTTTCCAGGTATTCATGGAGGAAATAAACCTCTGAAAGCACGTGTTCAGCACTGGCTCACCCTTGCAGCATCTCTCTTGACAGCAGCTCAGCACCTGCATGCAATGGCTTCTGCCACCCTTTCTTGAGAGAGGCGACACAACGAGTGGCCTGGCAGAAATTCCCCAGGAGAAATTGCCCCTTTGCAGGTGTGTTAAGCACCAACGTGCACAAGAAATGTTCAGGAAGAGCCTGAGACTCCTAACTTTCTTAAAGGAAAGGAGTTGAGTTGTGATTACAGTTACATCTTTCTTCTTCGTTTACTAGCAGCAGCCTGAGGTCTCGAGCCCCCCAGGTTGTGTGGGTGCCATTGGTGTCCACCTTTCAGAAGATAGCTCTGAAATACTCTCATGTTCAGCCCCATCAAGTTTTTTTTATTGATGCTGCTGTTCCCAAAGCTGACTGCCCCAGTTATCCCAGTGAAAGCTGTGGATCATGAGCTGTGACGGTGACCTTCTGCAGAGCCACAGTATCTGCTGGTGGCGCTGGGGAATTGGGAGCTCCCGTGGCTCCATACGGTGTGTTTCATCGCAGTTGTCTTCCTTGGATGGCCTCCAAGATGCTCACTCAGAATAGCTGGGGATTTCACACCATCCAAATTGTTCAGTTCCTGTTCTCCCCTGCCTGCTGCTAACCTTGAGGATGCAGCTCTCCATCGCTCGGATGTCAGATGGGCTCAGTTTTGTGTGTGTGAAAGGCAAGGACTATTCCAGCAATGCCTGGGGCTATTTTCTTCTTGTTAAAATAAGAGATGAGACAGTCTCCACAGCTGGGCTCTCACAGTGGATCTTGGGCTGTATCCTAACCATCCACGAGGTTTTTTAATACCCCTTTCCTCCGTATATTCCTATGGAGCTGTTAAACGAGGGCCCAAGTTTATTCAGTGGGTTTTGTTTAAAAAATACCCTTGTTACCATTATGAAGGGCAGTGATCTGAGGAGAATCTTTCCTGCCTTTTATAAGCCCCTTGCGCTAGTGCCGTTGTACTGGGTGACTTTGTGCTCTGTTGCTGCAGCCACTTTTCCTGAGCATCCACCCAACACCGCCTGGAAGTCTCCTTATATACCAGCTCGGTAGTGAGGGTATCTTCTCTCGTCTTGCCTCTCTTTTGCTGCCTCCAAACTCCAATGTTATTTACGCTGGTATCGTAAAAGAGGAACTAGGCGCTCTTCACACGCTGTGCCGGGCGGGTTTGGTGCTGAGCGTGGCAGGGCTCAGCAGGGCACAGTGACCCACGTCCTGGGGCTCAGCTGCGTGGGGAGGTCTGTGCTGGGAGCGGAGAGCATGGGGGTGGCAGGGGCCGAGGAACTGTTGAGCACCTCCTGTCTCTTCTCACACCCTTTCGCTTCTCCTCCTCTTTGCTCCTTTTCTCTCCATTCACCTTTCCCATCCTGTACTACTTGCTTCCAGCTGGTGCAGACCGTGCCTGAACCCCCCTTGCAGCCCCCATCCCTCCCTGCCTGTGCTTGCCCTCCCAGGCAGGAGGGATGGCCGTGCGGCGTCCGAGTCTTGAGGCCAGCGTTGAAGTAGGTGGTAGCGAGAGCAGTGTAGCTCTTTGTCCGGCTGCATGGGCACGCGAGCAGGTTTCGGCAGGGACCGTGGGGATGTCGGGTACAGCAGCATTGCACCCACCTGGGTGATCCCGGCTGGAAGTTGTAAGCTGTGATTTTCCATTTCTCCCCTCCTCCTACCTCCCACTCTCCGCTTCAGAAAGGATCTGGGAGCTCCTCGGGCTGGCGCAGCAATGCTCTAATGCCACTTGCAGTCACAAGTAGGCACCATGCTGGGGGCACAAACTGCTGTGCAGCAGAGGGTCTGCAGGCAGTGACCACAGGCAGCTGCGTGTCAGGAGCACGCGCTCGGGCATGGCTTCGCGCGGGAAAGCCGAACCTCTAATTCCTCTCTCCGGGATTAGAGGTTTGCACCAGCTGACCCAGGAAAAAGGGGAAACAGTTGGTCTGGTGCTTTCTGTCCAGGGGCTGTGGTCAGGCTGCAGCCTCGTGGCTCGGAGGGGCGAAGCGGGCATGCGCACACACACACAGATGTGAGCTGAGCAAGCGCAGAGGAACCCTCTGATGAAGTTGCCCCTAGTCCTGCAGCTGGAAGGGCATCGGCTCTCGCAGCTGCACCGGTTCTCTGGGGGTCAGGGTGAGCTATGCAATGCTGTGAGCTCCCTGGCCCAGCTCCTGCTGGGATCCATGGGAAAGATGTGGGCTGGCAGGGTTGTTTTTCAGGGAGTGGGAGGGAGCTGCCGGCTCTGAGCAGAGCCCAGCGGCGGCCGGCCAGCCCTGCTGTGCCTGGCGGAGGGCCCCTGACAGCCACCGGAGCCGCGGCCGGTGCCTCTGGACCCATGAGCTCGGGGCTGAGTGCTTGCCGCTGCCTCGTGGATTGGGGCCTCGATCCCTCTGGTTCTGCTTCCACGTACAGTGCTTCCTTCCAGCTCCCCAGGGTGCTGAACCTGTGCTGGGCAGAGGGGCTGCGCTTGCGGGGGGAGGCAGCGGGCAGCCCTGCCTGCCTGCAGTGGTGGGTGGCTTTGCCTCGTGTGCTGGCACTGGGCTGGACGAGCCCCCCTCATCCCCGGGGGTGCCCACCGCGGTCGTCCTGCTGGCACTGGTACGGAGGATCCGAACCGGCGGGCGAGGCGGCAGGAGCGGGACAAGCATCCGCCCCGCTCCTGCTCCCCGGGGCCTCGCCACAAGCCACCGGTGCGGGACGGGGCTGCCTCCGAGGGGGTTCCCCTGCATCGCCCTGCCTGCCGGCCACCCTCAGCCACTGCATCTGTGTGTGTGCGGGCTAGGGCGCGCGTCCCGGGGCCGCGGGGCCGGCGGCACTAACGACCTCTCTCTCCTCTCCGCCCTCTCCACCCCAGAGACTTAACTCACTGCGACTCCGACTCCTCCATCCCGCACCTGAGCGACCACCAGCGTATCCCCAGCTCTGCGCCCAAGCTCCTGGCTGCCCGGCCCAACCTGCTGACCAGGTCCATCGAGGAGGCTGCCCCCGGCCACCCTGCCGTCGGCGCGCCCACCCCCAACGGCGGCAGCAGGCACGCGGAGGCCTCTGCCCTGGGGGCTTTGCCGGAGCGGCTGCCCGAGAGCCCCATGGTGATGAAGAAGATGATGATGGTGAACCACGGCATGGAGAAGTCCTCCAGCCTGGGGGAGATCGGCCACCCGACAGCCACCAAGCACACCCACTCGGATTCCTCCCGCTCCCACAGCCCCAGCTCCACCGACCCCGACACCCCCTCCCCCATCTCTGACTGCCGGCCCGGCAGTGCCAAGAGCACCCGCATCCCGCAGCTGGCTGCCAAGAAGAGCCCGGGGGACGAGGACAGCAGCTTGACAGGCGATGAGGTTGACCTCGGCCAGAGCAAGAAAAAGTTCCCCCTAAAGATCTTCAAGAAGCCCAAGAAGTAGAGAGAGGAGGGGGGGAAGAGGAAACCCACCCAGGAGCGCGACCCACTGGGACCGGGGGGCGGCCGTGCATCGGGAACGCAGCGCACCTGCCCGTCCCGGACCCTGCGGGCTCGGGTGCTGGCCAGCACCCGCCGCCCTCCCCTCCACACCCTCGTTTCTGAGTCGCCTCACCTAACACCGGCAGCGGGAGGAGCTATTTAAACTTATTTATTTCCTAATCTCTGAGAAAAAAAAAAAAAAAAAAATGACGACGACGACCGCTCCCCCCAAAGAGAACAGCCGCCCTTTCTCCCCTTCCGACTGCTGCAGTCCCTGGCTTTGCTGTGCATGGCTTCCAGTTACTCCTGCCTCTGCTCAGCCACACGGCATTTGGGTTTGGTTTCAACGTGGTTTTATTTTTTTATTTTATTTTTTATTATTATTAATTTTTTTGTCCGGTTCTTCTGCCTCTTCCAACTTTTGCACAGGCTGTATGGAAGGTCGGGGCGGTGGGAGCCCGCTGGGGAGCGGGGCCAGCTGCTCCCTGAGGAGGCAGCACGCTCCCCACTCGGCTCTTGGGGTGACTCAGGTGCGAGAGTTCGGGCGAGCTGCCTCGCGGACGTTGCAGCGGTTCTCTCCTCATTTCTGTGAGTCACTTTTCTACACCCCGGCCCCCATCGCTATGATGGTTGGGAGGGGGAATCCCTGTTTGTGCGCTCTTGATAAGCAAGAGCAAGTTAAACGCCCTTGCGAGGGAGGGCTCTGCCCTTGCCGGTACTCGTGCATCCAGGAGCTCAGCCCGCAGCGTGCCCTCGACCCGCTTCCCGCTTGCGCCGGAGGCGGCTGCAGCCTGCTGGGTTTCCCCAGTGGGACGGGGCTGCCCACCCAGCTGCTCTGCCCAGCCGGACATGGCGCTGCCGGAGGCGTGCGCTGGGCTGGGAGCTGCTGCCGGAGCAGCACCAGTGTCTGTACGTGGCAGTGGGGTGGGTTGGACGCTGGGCCGGCTGCTCCAGCACGGAGAAGCCCGCGGCTGCCCCCGTCTTTACTCCCCCCCCAGGCCCCTGGACGTGCCGGGGGGAGCAGGGCCAGAGGCAGCTCCTCCAAACCCAGATATGTCCCAGGGGGCATGGCTCGGTGGGGCAAGGAGCGGGGACCCCGGTGATGGAGGAGCACCGAGGGGTGTTGGGTGCAGAGCCGGGTCCAGCTACCACGTCCACACAAAGAGGAAGGGGGGTCCCGGCTGCACGGCTGTCCCCTGTCCCCGTGTCCCGGTTTGGCAGGGCCAGAGGGAGGGAGCGGGGCACAGCAGGGTTGGCCAGGCACAGGCAGGCTGTACGTGGGTGGCAGGAGCCTGAAGATGTCCTCCCTCTCTCCTGGCTCCATCTCTCTGAAGCAGGCTTGCCCTCAGGTCGGGTGCCGCGGGCTCTGCACCCTCCCCCAGCACCCAGGGGACGGAGGAGGCTCACCCGGGCACCCGCTGCCCTCAAAGTCCGTGCGGGCAGCGTCCTCCCTGCCCCGAGGCCACGCTCGCTCCAGCCGGAGGCTGGGGTCTGCATGACTGTGCCAGCCCATGGCCGTTCGGTGCCGGCACAGCCTGCGGCCGGTCTTGGTCCGTCCCAGGCCGCTGCCTGGGGCTCTGCGGCTCTTCCCGTCCTCCCTCGGCAGGCTGCGGGTTGCATCCTGCTGCTCGGAGCCCTCGCCTTGGCGTGCTTCCACCATCGCGGTCCTGGCTGCTGATGGGGAGTCCCCGGCTTGGGGCAGCGATGGTGGGATGAGCCCCGCTCCGTCCAAGGGCTGAGCCCATCCCCGGGGGTGACCCTGTCCCCAGGGATGAACCTCGCTCCGTCCCACGGCCAAGCCCTGCTCCCCCCAGGCACAGCCCCGCAGCGCCCCGCGCCGGGGCTGGCAGAGGAGCCCCCGGCCGTCCTCCCGCATCCCTCGAGGCTGCTGCCTGGCACAACATGACCCCCCTGAGCTCTCCACCGAGCCCGGGCTCCCTGCCCCAGCCGCCCCCTCTGTCCCAAGCCCCCCCACCGTGCCACCGACCGACATGTCCCCGGAGGTGGGCTGCTGCCCGAGGTTGCCCCAGCTGCTTCGCTTGCCATGGGCAGAGGAGGATGCACATCTGGCAGGGAAGAAGAGGAGGCAGGGCGGGATGCTGAAAACCCCCTGGGGCCTTGCTTTATGCCAGAGTAATATATATGTGTATGTTGACAATACAGGAAGGGCTATAAAGGTGTTTTTTGTTTCGTAGGTGGTAGTTAGACAATTACACTGTTGCTTTGAGATAAGTGAAAAATTCCTCTAAATGACTAAGTGCCTGCATTTCCCCGCGGCTGCTCCGAGCTGCGGGGAGCGGGGGGATGCCGCGCTTGGCCCCCGTGGTGGGGGCTGCTGCCATGGGCACCCCCTTGGGAGCGGGGCTGGCGGCGGTGGGACCCCGTGGGCACCCTGCGAGCAGGGGCTGCCCGGGCTGGAGCCGGGGGCCCAGCGGCACTGCTTGTGGTGGCGGAGACCTGTCGATGCTTCTGGAGAAGGGGTTGGGGATCCACCAAATGGCAACTGTTGACGCATCTGCCAACTCTTGATTTTTTTTTTTTTTTTTTGTCATTTCATAAAACTTTTAAATCTAATAAAGCATGTAGTCTATTTTACGAGCCAGCATCTGCTGCTCTCTTCTTCCAGCCCTTCCCAGGCTGCAGAGCGGGGGTCCCATGTGAGGCGGATGGGGGCACTGGGTGCCTGCCGGTGGTGGGTAGGCTCCCTGGGGACCATGCCCCCAGCAGCCAGCCCCCGCTGCCCCGGCTTGGCCAGCGGACAGCAGGGACAGATGGACACCCCGGCTTTCCCCCCACCTGCCCCCCAGCAGCAGGGCCATGTGCCAGGACCCTGCGATCCCTGGGCCGGGAGCAGAGTCCTCTCCCATGGGGTCTGGATCACGCACTTCTGCTCAGCGCCAAAAATAACCTCGTGCCGTCCGGGTCGGCGCAGGGGTGACGGGCTGTGCTGCAAGCCGCTGGCGCTGCCCTGTTTCTGCTGCCGGGGGATGGTCTCGTCCCAGCGACACGGCGGCAGAGCCATATATCACCCATACATCACCAGCAGGAGCATGGGAAGAGCATGGCTGCCCTGCTGCCGGGCTGGAGACTTGTAGGAAGGACAGACGGTCATTGGGACCGGGGTTAAAGCACTTCCCTGGGGCCCCCTCAGCTTCCCCGACAAGGAACCAGCTGCTGACCTGGCCCAAGGCAACCTCAGCCCCTGCCAAAGTCTCTCCCCGCTCGCACCCCTCTGCTCCTGCAGCTGAAGCCAGTGAGATGTTGTCCCTAGGCAGCCCGGTGCTGAGCCCGTGGGCAGGCAGCAGGATGAGGCCCCGTGGGCTGGGACCCTGCAGCCAGGCACCGCGGGGGCATCAGGCCAGAGGCTGCGTGCAGGGAGAGGACGCAGCAGGATCCGGCCTGTCCCAAAGGAGCTGCACCCAGGTCCCGCAGGGCTCCGGTGCATCAGTGGGGCAGTCAGTGCAGGATCCCTCCCCGCTTGTGCTGCACAACAGCCACGGCACAGGGTGGTGGTGGCACCCTGCGGCGCGGAGGCCAGCGGGGACCCCGGCGCAGGCACCGGCACGCGTGGGCACATCCCCGGCTCGGCCCAGCCCGGCGAGCAACAGCGTTCTGGAAAATGGACCTTTATTGCAGCAGCAGCAAATGCATCGTGTGCTCACAGCCACCCTGAGGCTGCAAACCCAACCCCGGGGTGGCCCTTGCCCCTCTTGCCTGCGCCGTGCTGCTCCTGGGCCCGGGATGGGCAAGTGGGGACCTGCCCTGGGCTGGGGGCTTGGAATTGGCTGCTGGCCCAGTCCAGCCTGGCAGCACAGTGGTAACAGCCATGCCAGAGCCGCTGGCCCCAATCACTGCCTGGGAGGCAGCTGGGGGGGGGCCCGGAGTCCCCCTCCCGGGGGTCAGTGTGCTGTTCCCACTGCCACGGTGGGCTCGGCCAGCCTGGCCCCTGCCCAAGGCGGCTGCCGCTGCCAGGGACACTGCCAGCAGCCTGCCCTGCTGGGAGAGCTCTGGGGTGGGGCCAGGGACGCACGCAGCTGCCCCCAAACCACTCCAACAAGATGTGGCAACTGCCCAGAGGCAAGCGAAGGGCTGGAGCATGGCCCGGGGAGCCGGTCCTGCTCACAGAGTCCCCCAGAAACACCTTTGGAGCATGCAGAACATTTCCAGGAAAACGCATTACGTGCTGGGATCAGTGATTATCATCCGCTGGGATGGGTGATGGTGACGGCACAAGGGGAGCCACGTGCACCAGCAGCCAGCCCCCGGCGGGTGTCCCCATCCATCATCAGTGGGTCCCATCTTCCCGGGGGCTCCGTGCAAGGACGTGGGGTGCCCCAGGGCCGGCATCAGTCTTCGCTGCTGCCGTGGAGCAGCGCGGTGAAGTCGCCGCTGTTCAGGGTGATGGTGAACGCCGCCATGCAATGACTCCATCCATGTTGCGGCCAGCGGCTGCCCTCCAGGAGGGCAGGGGCTGGATGGCTTCCTGGAAGCGCTGAGGGTGGGCAAGGGTGAGCAGGGGCTGCCCTGAGCCCCCGCGGGGCAGAGGGCAGCGTCGCTGCAGGAAGGGGCAGCAGCGGGCACGGCGGCGGAGGGGCTCAGACCCCACCTCTTGCTCCGGCCCCGCAGCTCCAGCCCTTTTTCTCTCTTGGGGAAGGGACAGCATCGCCTCTGCTCTGTCACCAGCCTCTCCTGCCCCATCCCCAGCACTGGGGCAGCCCCTGGTCTGCCCCCGCCCTGTCCCGGTGCCCCATCCCGCCTCGCACACTCACGTTTCTCAGCGTCCCTGACTGGCGGCACAGGGCCACGACGGCCCAGAGCGGGACCTGCAGGCAGGTGAGGACGCCCATACAGATGCCGAGGTTCGTGCCCCAGGTGGGGTACTCGTAGATGCCGTGGTGCAGGGGCATTCGGTGCATGTCCAGGCAGGTGCAAACGAGCACGGACTGAAGGGCAGAGCGGGCACAACCAACATGACGCCACGGCACTGCCTGGCCCCAGGGGTCTTGGCCAGGCTGGGAGCCACAGGGACCCCCAGGGGTGCCCTGAGCTCCCTCCAGCAGCCACAGACAGGCCCAGGGGGGCACCAGGACCGGGCAGCCCCGCTCCAAACCCATGGCAAGAGCTGCCCCTCTCAGAGGGGAGGGAGAGATGGAGGGAGGGGAGCTCTTCTCCCCTCGACCTCCAGCCCCAGGAGCGTGCTCGGTGCTCACCAGCAGCAGGCAGGGGGTAAAGAAGGCCCAGCACGCCTTGAAGTAGCCCAGCATGTGCTTGCACCAGGGTGGGCACTGGCGGATCATGTCCATGATGTCCTGGCAGAACTGGTTCACACCTGCAGACACCCCAGGAGAGGGTCATGGCCGAGCCCCTGCCTACCCTCCGCATGGCCCTGCTGGGTGCACCCACTCCAGGGCACCCATGACACCCCGTGCTCGGGCTGAGCCGTGCCAGAGTGGCGGTGCTGAACATCCACCATGCTTTGGTGGTGGAAAAGAAATTGCATCCCCCACACACAGGGAAAATTGCACTTCAGCTTTGCACCATCTCCTTGCAGGGCTGAGCTCCGTGTGGGTAGCAGGACGGGGGGTAACTCCCTGCCCACCCCAGCTCCAAGCTCTCCACAGCTGCAGGTGCACCCTACAGAGCCTGGCCACGGTTTGCCACGAGCCCCAGGAATGCCAAACGCTGGCAGCGCGGTAGCCAGGGGCTGCCCTGTGCTGTAAATACCCTGCGCCTGCAGTGTACCCTGGTGCCGCCCACTCCGCTCACCGTAGCAGAAGGTGATGCCCAGGCACATGAAGAGGGAGACGGTGATCAGCCCAAAGCCGGTGCTGTACTTGTCAATGAGGGTGAACCAGAAGATGCCTCCCTGTGAGGTGGTGAGGGACAGGGTCAGCACAGCTCAGGGCAGTGGGGTGGGCGCAGGGCACCCCCTGCCATGGACAGCGTTGACGCCAGGGCCTATGAATAGCCCTCCATCCTCCCACCTAAGCGCTTGTGCAGAGATAGGGAGAGATGGCCGTTCCCCAACCTCCAACCTGGCATCACCCCAAGGATGCTGGGTGCCGCTGGATGGGGGTGCAGGGGATGCCATACCTGGGTGACCAGCGGGAGCCCCAGCAGGCAGAAGGAGGTACAGAGAGCACCCAGCAACGCTGCCTTCTTCCTCTGGTTGTCCAGGGCCGGGAACTCGTCCAGGATGGCTCTGGTGATGCCTTTAATGTTCCCAAACTGAGGGACAGGGGATGTCGGTGGAGGGGGGATGTCCCAGTCCCTGCCTCCCCCAGACTGGGCACTGGGGACGGTCCTTACAGAGGGGACTTTGCAGGGCACTGTCCCCATGTGCATCCCCATCCCTGTGACACCTGGGCACGTGGAGAAACCCATGGCCAGTGCCAGTGGGATGTGGCTGCATCCCTGCCCCATGGCCTTGGGTGCAGCCCCACATGCATGGGGCCATGCATCCCCCCTCACCCCCCCACCCCAGCAACACCCTCATGCTCCTGGCCCGTGCACTTCATGCCATCTGCATGCCTGAGGCGGGGTGTCCCTGGCACCCCAAGGCCAGGCATGGGGAGGGACATGGGGCTGCCAGAGCTGACAATCACCAAAGTATCCACTCCCAGCATGATAAGCGTCAGGAAGAAGAGGATGGACCAGAGCGGGGAGATGGGCAGCAGGGAGAGGGCTTCAGGGTATGCCACAAACATCAGCCCGGGGCCTGCGGGGTGAGATGAAGGGAAGCATGAAAGGACACGCCATGGTGAGACAGGCCAAGTCCAGCAAGCTGGTAGCCAGGCTGGATGTGAGCTTGGCTGCAGCCCCATGGCCCCATCCCTGTGCAGGGCACTGGGATGTCCCCTGGCACAGCACAGCACGAGTCCCCCACCCCGAGCCCATACCTGAGTCAGTGACACTGCCCACAGGGACTTGGATCCTCCAGGCCATGTGCCCCATCAACGAGAAGATGGCAAAGCCGGCAAAGAAGCTGGTGCAGCAGGTCCCAATAGCAAGGACCAAGGTGTTCCTGCCGGGAAGGGCATCACAGCCCCACGCTTGTGAGGTGAGGATGGAGATGGGGGCATCCTGATGGGCCATGGGGCTTGGACCTCCCCATTACCACCCTGCTCCTCCCCAGCCACAACCCGGGGCTGCCCCAACAGCCCGCACCCCCCATGCACCTCGCGCCCCGGCCCTGCTCACCGGATGACGTTGCTGTCAAACTCATTGTAGGAGGCCAAGGAGACCAGTCCCCCAAAGCCGACGCCCAGGGAATAGAAGACCTGCGAGGCTGCATCGCTCCACACCTGGGGGATGATTGTGCAGGGGGGCTGCAGGGCTCCCCAGCCCAGCCTGCCCCACTGGCCCCAGCTGGGGGGATCGCTGCCATCAGGGAACCCCCAGCCCCGCTGCGGGGTTACCTGGGCACTCTGCAGCCTGCTCCAGTCCAAGGAGAGGTAGAAGCGGACGCCGTCGAGGGAGCCGTCCAGTGTGGCCCCCCAGATGATGAGGGTGAGGATGACCAGGTAGGGAAAGGTGGCCGTGACGTACACCATCTGCGCAGGGCACGGCTCAGCTCAGCCCCTCTCCGCCGGCACGGCAGCCCCCCCTGCAGCCCCCACACACTGCCCCTCACCTTGCCTGAACTGTGGATGCCCTTCAGCGTGCAGAAGAAGACAATGATCCAGGCTGCTAGCAGGCACAGGGCGAGGGGCCACTGCACGGCACCGGGGTCTCCGAGGCCGGAGCTGTGCATCACCCCCAGCACCTGCTCGCTGCAACACAGGGACGTGGGTCAGCGGGACGGGGGGCACCAGGCACCCTCCTCACCTCCGCAATGTCCTCACCCACCCCTTCCCCCTCACAAAGCCTCCGTCATCACCGACCACTGCCCACGGGGGCTCAGCCCCATCCCTTCGGGACCAGGAGAGATGGAGCCGGGGCCAGACCCCCAGACATGGTCCGAGGGAGGCACACATTGATGCGGCCACACAGGGACTTACTTCCAGAAAACCTCGCTGGCGCTGACAATCCCTGACGCATTCTGCAACACACATCCCCGGCAGGTCACCGTCACCACCAACTGCCATCGCCACCATCCCCGATGTCCCTCCCAGCCCCAGCCCCAGCCTGCCCCTCCTCTTCTGCTGCAGGCAAAGCTTCTCCCAAGAGAAACCACCTGCCCAGTCCTCGTGCGGTGTCTGGCCCCGCAGCATCCCACCGCGGGACCGGACCCCACAGCGCTGCCCGCCCGGGAACCACTGACCTGGCAGAAGTATGCGTTCCCGGGGGCATCGCAGGACCAGGGCAGGGGGCTCTGGAAGGAGGACCCCAGGTAGTAGAAAGCCCAGGCAATGATGACGTTGTAGTAGACGCACACCAGGGAGGATGCGATCAGCATGGCAATGCCAATGCCTGGGCGAAGAGAGAGGCTGCTGGGGGGGGGGGGCAGGCAGGGGTCTGCCCACATCCGACAGACCCCCGGCCCCACCGTGGGTTGAAGGGGTTGGAGAGGCAGCAGGAGACCTGCCCGGGGCTGCCCACGGACTTGGGATGCAGACTGGGACCTCGCCAAGAGGGTGTCCCAGCCCCTGTGCCCACCCCACACCCCTTCCCACAGCCCAGCCAGCCCCAGCGGCTGTGGGGGCAGGCAGGAGAGGTGTCCCCGGCCCCCAGCCCCACCTTTCAGCAGCGGGCAGCATTTCCAGACAGTGATGGGCCCCGTGGCTCCATACTGACCCAGGCTCAGCTCCATCAGGAAGAGGGGCAGCCCCATGATGAGCGACATGATGAAGAAGGGGATGAGGAAGATGCCTGGGAGGAGAGACGGAGCGGGTCGGGGGGGTGGCCGGCGCTAGTCTGGCCTTCCGAGAGGACAGACATGCAGGGTTTGGACCCATGGCAGGGACACGTGTCCAGGCAGGATGCAGCAGAGCAGGGAAAGCCCCCTGGGGCTGCTGGCTCCATCCTGGGGGCTGTCCCCAGCAGATGAGTTCCCCATGAGCCCTGCAGCGGGGGCCTGAGCTGGGAGCTGGTGGGATCCTGCTGGCCCTGGCTTGGAATGGGTGGTGGGAGCAGCGCTGGGGTGCAGCTGTGGGTGCTGCAGTGGTGCTCGGGGCCATGAGATGCTCAGGACCGTGGGATGCACCCACAGCAGATCCTGGAGTTTCCTCTGGCAATACACTGACATCTGCATCTTTACACAGCTTGTCTCACCAATGGCATTCTCTGTGGAGGAAATCCTGCTCCTTGCAACTTCAGCCAGGCAAAATTTGTGCTGGAAAAGGACATTTTCCAGGGGAGAAATGGGCATTTCCCAGCTGGCAGCCAGCTGCAGCCCAAGCCCATCCTCTCCCGGTGGCAAAGCTCTGGCGCAGCGATAGCCGTTCCCTGCAGGGGTGCAGCTCTCCAGCCACATGCCATATTCAAACCCCGCTCCCCCGCAGCCTCGCTGACAGACCAGATGTGGGGCTGACTGCTCATTAGCCTGGCACTCATTAGCACAGTGCTGGGGGGAGCAGGCTGCCTCTGCATCTGCTGTGCAGGCTGCAGGGGAATCACCAGCCAGCTCTGGCAGAGGCTTTGCGGGGCTTAGCCTGGGGAGGAGGGGACCGCCGCAGGTTTAAAGCCCCATTGGGACATCGGTAACTCCTGCTTGGCTGTTGGCAGAGGCTGGGAGTGAGGGGTGATGGTGCCCCAGTCCCGCTGGCTCCCTGCAGCTGGAGGCACCGTCCGTGGGGCCGGGGGACCGGGCAGTGGGACCGAGGTAGTGTAGCGTGTCCCTGCTCTGCCCATGACGCTGGGAAATGGTGGCTCTGGCTGCTTTACTGCCAGTCCAACACGGGTACTGGGGCCTTCTGCAAGGGGTGCCGCACAGGAACAAACCTCCCCAGTTCCACGGCTTTGGGATAAAAACCCCCATGACTGCCTGTCCCCCACCATCCCCATCCTTTGGGGTGGAGGGCCAAGGGGGCAGCTGCTCCCCCTGCACCCCCATTTCTCCTGCTTGCCCCCACCTCCTTTGGCTGATGCTTTCTCGTCCCCCGTGGGTGCCGGGCAGTGCCCATGGGCAGTGTCCAGCCCTGCCTCAGCGGTTGCCCACAGGCAGCGTGGGCCCTGCATGGCCAGGCGGCCGGCAGTGACATCCAGTGGCGAGCACACCGATCGCTGTGCCCGGCTGAAGCCGCCCTCGCCTTGCTGGGAGAAGGGGTCTGTGGGTTCCGCGGGGCGATGCACCCCACAAGGCTCCCACAGCACAGCCCGTCTCCCACCCTCCGGGGAGCACCCGGCTTTGGGCACGCATGGCCCCGTGGGGTGCAGACAGCCCCTGCCCGCAGGCAGCCGTGTCCTGGGAGAGGGCTGGGAAGCGAGAAGCGTGTGATGGGTGGTGGGAGCACTGGGAGCGGGAGGCTCGGGGTGTCTGCAGCAAGGGGAAAGCCCGGTGTCCTCCGCAGCCATCCCCCATGATGGGGGAGACTGCAGCAGGTGGGGATGGCTGTGTCTGTGTCCCCAGTCCCTGGAGCAGGTCACCCCACTGCCACCCCCATCCCCATGGTGGCAAGGTGCCCCAGGGCACATGCCGGTGTCTGCAGCAGCTCCAATGGGAGCAGCTGCTTCTCCGTAACATGGTTTAGTGGCAATGGACGATGGGTGGACTCGATGATCTTGAAGGTCTTTTCAGCCTAAATGATTCTATGATTCTCCCTCTGCCCCCTCCCCAGCCTTGATGCTAGGGCAGGGCAGGCCGTGCAGTCCCTCGGGAAGGAGGAGATGCTTCCCCAGGAGGATCCACAGCCAACCCTGCACCCCAGCCCCAGCACAGGGTATGGTAGTCCCATCACCCACCAGCGAGCCCTGCCCCGAGGGCCAAATTCCTCCCCAGTTAGGCAAGGTGCAAAGGGCACAGCCCCGGCATGTCCCACTAAGGCACCGGTGCTGCCCCAGACCTGCGCGGCATCACAGGGATGGGTGCCAGCCCCGGCGGGCAGCAGGGGTGCGTGCACACGAGGCAGGGCATTTCGGAGCCAGGCCAGCTTGCATTGGCTCAGCCGGGGACACCTGCGGTGTCGGGGATGGCCAGAGAGTGGGGCAGGGGGCTATGGAGCAGCATGTGGGGTCCCACGGTGCTGTGTCCCATGCACGGCTGCTTCTGCCCCCGCCAAAGCACACTCGCCATCCGGCCATGCCCCAAACAAGTCGGTTGGCCTATTAGCAAATTACTTCAGTTACAGTCATTTAAGGAACATCCACGGGGCAAAGGGGAAATCACTAATTTAACTGGGCAGTTTGGAGTGAATGTAGAAAGCCAGCGCAATAAAAGCCCCGCAGACTGCTCGGCGGAGGGCAGGCTGCGGAGCTGGGCAGGCTGCGAGCCCACAGAGCATCGGGGATCCCAAGGCAGCAGCAGAGCAGTGCAGACTTCTGCGATGCCCAGCATAAAGGGAGATGCCAGAGGGCAGAGCAATGTGGGTTGGAGGCTCAGCAAAGGTGGCAAGGGCCGGATAGGGAAAGGTGGGCCCTCCAGCTGGGTGCAAGAGGAGGAGACAACATCAGGGCAGCAGAAGCAGCGAGGGGCTCAAGAATGACCTTTGGGGAGGTTTCTCCTGTCCCACAGCGCAGAGACATGGCACTGCATCGTGGGGAATTGCCACCAGGCACCAGCTACATGCTGAGCTCCCTGCACTTTGTCCTTCCCCAGAAATGTGGTAGGTTATTGCCCTTGCTTGGCCACCTTCCTGGGCGCTCCTGGCTGACTGCATTGGATTTTACAGTGGATGGGCACCTCCACACACCATGCACAACAGCTTGTAGCTGCATGGCACCAGACAGTCCCTGTTACCGCTGCTGCAGAGGAGCTGACAGTGCTGCAGGGGGGTCACTGCCTTTCTGGCCAAGCCCCACCTCTCTGGGCAGGGGCAGAGATGCTCTGCAGAGGGGCTTTGCCTGGAGGCTGCACTTTTCAGCCCAAACCACTCAGGACACTGTTGCAGGCTGCCCCAGGCTCATCCCAGAGGCAGGCGCATCTCTGGGCTGCACAGGACAGCCCCAGCAGGAGAAGTCCCTGGCAGACTCATGTGGAGATGCTTTGAACTCTTAAAGCATCTTTCCCTGTGGTCTTCACGGTGGAATTAAAGTTGTGGTGGGCAACACAAGACCCTGAATCCTGCCAGCACCCGTGTTTGCTGTCCTGGTGCGCACAGCCCCCGTGCACCACCACATTGTCCATCCCCAGCCCCCCATGCTCCTGGCCTCCATCCAGAACTGAGCAGTGCCCGAGTGCCCGGGAAGGGACGTGTATGCCCACAGCAGGGACCTACCTCCTCCGTTGCGGTAACACAGGTAGGGAAAGCGCCAGATGTTGCCCAGCCCCACACAGTAGCCCAGGCAGGACAGCAGGAACTTGTACTTGTCGGTCCAGGTCAGCCAGTGCGAGCTGGGGGCTGGGATGTCAGGCTGGGGTGGGGGTCCCGGCCAGGGCTGGCTGGTGGAGTCAGTGGTTGGACCCTCTATCTGGAGGATGTTGACCTGCGGAGGGGAGCAAAGCATCAGGAACCACTGGCTGTAAGCTGCAAACCCTGCAAGGCCCCTCGACAGGGCTGGGCACGGCCAAGGTCTCCCTGAAAAAGCATCTGGTTCCCAAATGGGTTTTGGGGCTTTCCCTGAAACCCGCCCAGTGGGACCCCGCCATGGCCCGTGCTATGGGACATGGGAGGCTCCGGCTGGCTCAGAGCTCTGTGCTCCTCCTCAGGCTCCAGGAGCCAGTGCAGGTCCGGGCAGACCCCAGCCCTAAAACCCTGGGCAGGTTTGATCCAGCAGATCCTCCCATAGTGTGAAAGTCAGCAGCTGGCATTCACCCACCCCCCGCTGATGGGTTTTCACCTCTGCTCTGTCTTATGCACCCAGGACTAGCTAAACACAGGGACTGCCTGGATTGGCACCCAGCCCTGCACTGGGCAGATGACAGTGGGTGCAGGGGTGCTTGCCACTGCTTGAGCAGTGGAAAGGATGGAGGGATTCCCCCAAACCAGCCTGCAGAGGCTGCTCCAGCCACATGGTCTGTCTTTGGAGGTCCCTTCTGCCACCTAGGCTGCAGCTTTCCCCAGGTTCCTCCAGGACAGATCTTGACCACCCTCCCCAGCAACTTTGGACTGCCTGGAGAGAAGAGGGGGGTCTCAGGAAGGAGAGGCAGCCCCCCCAGGCCAGACCACAGGGGCTGCACATAGGGGACTGCTGAGCAGCCCCATCTCCCCCACCATTCATGTACCCCATGCTGTCTGGGGTTACCTGGGAGCTGTGACCCCCTCATCTTGCCTGTCCCACTCTCTCTGTCCCCCAGAAGGAAATTTGCCTGCACAGCCCCTCAGGCAGCAGCCTGCACCTGCACCCGCACCCAACTTGCCCCTAACAGCCCCACACCCCAGCAGTGACCTGCAGCCCCGAGAAAAGGGAGAGCAGTGGGCTCCCTTCAGCTCTTTACAGAGATGCTCTAGCCTCTGAAAAGCATCTGTCCCACCTGCCCGCAAGAGGAGAACTGGCTTTGCTGGGCACAGGCTCCCCAGAACCCTCCAGATGGGTGGGAGACCTGCCCTGTGCCCAAGGGGACACAGGGCTCCAGCTGCTTTGTGCACCCTGAGAAATCCTGGCAGCTCTGCCAAACTGCAGCTGCGGGGCACATTGCAAGGTCCACCCGTCAGGGATGGAGAAAGGGCACTGCTCCATGGCAGAGGGATTGCAAGAGGAACCGAGCTGGGCTGAGACCCAAAGGCTGGCCATCACCTTGGCATGTGGGTGGCTAAGGGACAACGATCTGCAGAAACCCCTATAGGATCCAGACATTCCCCGTGCTGCTCCCACCGCAACCGTGGCTCACTGCGGGGGTTCCCAGCGGGGCCAGCTGCAACAGAGCTGTGGAGGGTGACCTGCACCCCGTGGGTGTCTGGCACTAGGAGCAGAGGCTCCTGCAGCCCAGGGCAGCGCAGAGCAGGGCAGGCATGTCCCTCAGGGCCCCGGTCTTACCGTGGGCTCCGGTGGCGTGGCGGGGGCCGGGGGTCCCGGCATGTCAAGGTGCCCGGTGCCCGGCATTTCCTGCTCGGTGGTGGCAGGAGGGAGGGACGGCCACACTTCACTGCGATGGTCTGACAAATTATAGTCAGTATCAAATATTCATTAGAGAACTTTGGTGGGGAAAAAGGCCTCTGTAAAAACACTGGAGTTCTGTGATGTGGCCGGAGGAGAGGACTCCACAGAGGGTGGGACCGCGCTTCTCCGAAGCTGCAGTTCCTTATCTTAAGTGACCAGGAGAAGGAGCACAGTGTATGTGCCTGGAGGATGGAGGGTGGGACCGCACTTCTCCAAAGACACAATGCCTTATCTTAAGTGACCAGGAGAAGGAGCGCAGTGTATATGCCTGGAGGAGGGGGCCCCACGGAGGATGGAACTGGGCTTCTACCTTAAACAATCATGCCAGCTGGGAAAGAGGCAACTCCTCAGTGAACCCCCTCAAAGCTCACCGACCGATTCCAGAGAACCCCGGGAATGAACTGTGCATGTCAAGACCACCGACTAACACACTATAAAAGAAGGGAGAATGAGTTCTCAGTGCGCGCCCTCTGGAACTGGATCTCTACGCTGGCTGGCCCAATTCTGGACCCAGGACTGGTGAAACCCTTTTCTTCTCTCTTTCTTTCTGTCTTTTCTTTCTTTCCCTCTCTCTCCCCCTCTTTTTCTTCTCTCTTTTCCACAGTCCCTCTACCTCATCCTTTTAAACATAAACCGTTGACCAAGTCTGAGACTAAGTGTGGATCCAGCCGTCCCTGGGCTCCTCTTTGAGGAGTCCAGAAAGCAAGGGGGTCTGCTCTGAACCTCGTGACTCAACGGGAGGGCTCTCCTTCTGACACAGTTTCATGTTCCTTTTTCCATTTCTTTTTCTACACCTCCCTTCTCTTTTCAAACAGCAGCTTAATGACATGTTACAAGGTTCATATTGGGAAGTTCACTTGTACTTGGGCAAGGTTAGCTAGGTTGAATAAATGTTGATTGTTGTTCGAACTCCCCTGGTGTCATTTCACCTTAATTCTGACAAAGGAAATCCACGAACTTGAGTCACGCCAACTTTGGGACGTGACATTCGCTCACCTGCACCAGGTGCAGCTCTGCCCCAACTGGCCCTGGCCCGGGGTGCGGGATCTGCTGTGATGGGGTCCCCACGAGCCCCCAGCCCCCTGAAGATGGTTCATCCCGCTTGCTTTTGCAGCCAGGAGGGACCAGAGGCATCACTGGCTGCTCCATACGAGTTCTGGGGCCGGGGCTGTGCTCAGTGGGGTACGACAGCACCCATTGCTCACGGAGAGCTTGGTGCAGGGTGTGCACTGGGGTGGCCCCTCAGCACCAAACCTCTGCTGGGATGTGGTTTTGTGCTCGGCTCCCTGGACGCTCATGGCTGAGCCATGCTGAGGAGCAGCCCGGTGCCTTCTCCAGCCGTGGCCCCACATAGGAGGGGCACCAGGGCACCGGAGCCGTGGCACTGCCAAGGCAGCCGATCCTGACCCCACTGCAGAGCAGCATGAGGAGGCAGACAGCGGTGCCAGGCTCCCAGCCAGTGCTGAAGGCCAGCAGGCATGAAGGCATGAGGAAGAAGGAGGGAGTGGTACGAAAGGACATGGAGCGGTCCGCTGTCCCCCCCAGGCTGAACAGCATCCTGATGGAAGGAAGGACCATTTTCAGGAACAGCTCCATCTCCCTTTCCAGGCTATCTTTGATGGCAGCATCCCCCAAAACACCCATTATTTTCACCCTATTTTCCCAGTTAGTGGCTGTGGTCTCCCAGCCCATTTGCTGGGAAAACCAGGCAGCCAAATAAGGTGCAGAAATAGTGGTGCGGGTTTTCTGGGAGACAGACTGCTGCTGCCTTCACACAGGCTCAGCGTCAGCAGTAGTAGCAGCTGCTGAAAGAGCTCAACTTAAAACTGTGATCTATCCATGAGAGAGTATTTCTCCTGCAGTTCTCCCATTCCAGCCACTGAGTCATCTTCTGCTCTTGTTAGCATTTCCACCTCCTTTCCTCTGCATCTTCGAGGGGACACTGGGCTAGATCCCTGATCCTCTGCTGCACACCAGCTTTTGTCTGTCTGTCAATGTTACATGCTGATGCACTGTCCTTGCTTCTCTTTGGCCATTGCCAGCAGGATGGCAATGGGTTATGAATTGTCCAGTGATCCGCTAAGCTGGTGACCCCCTCTGAAAGTCTGTATAAAGTCTTTGTGGGATGACTGCAATCGAATGTAAGTCAGGAGCAAAAAAGGAAGCTCATCATGGGAGGCAACCAAAGGAAGCTCATCATGGGAGGCAACCAAAGGAAGAAGGAGTCATTCTGCTTGATGACTGTGGTCGCCTTCATCTCACGCCATCTGCCAGAACCCTGCTGTACTCCTGGGGCAGTGCAAAGTCCTAGACCTTGCAAGAGAGACAATCAAAATCAAGCAGTCTCTTCAAATGGACAGAATGTCTGCAGATGTTTCTGGGTCAAGGAATTAACTGTAACTCCACCTGAAAGAGGGAAATGGAAGAGGTACTTTTAACTTGGGTAATTTTGATGGTCTTGCTTATGGTAGAGGTTTGCACACAGTTGGTCCAGGGCAACTGAGGAGCCAGTAATCAGTGTTGGGGAATTAGCACGGTGTGCTATGATGCACAAAACAACCAGGAGGCAGAGAATTAGACTCTTCCATCTGTATTTTCTCCTCAAAGACTGGATTCTGTAAGAAACCCCCAAGATACCTGAGATACTCACAACTTCCACTGGAGCCTGGGGGCCCTCAGAGCCAGTCACAGAGCAGCCCAGGCCTTTGTCCCTGGCAGGATTAAGATAACTCTGTGCAGCTCGCTCCATGACTCAAGGCCTCCACCTCACTCTCATGGTTTCCCCTGCTTTTGCCAGCAATGTTTCTCAAGCCCAACAGCTCTCCACTTGCACCAGGAGTGCTGCCAGCTGGGCAGCCTGGCACCGCAGCACTGTCAAGATTTTCAGGATGTCTTCTCAGGGCGCAGTCTGCTATGTGACCTACAAGCACACAGCACAAGCCAGCAGGACTGAGAAAACCAGATCTTCATCAGGAGAACTGGAGAGAGTCTCATTCCCGAGGACACTTGCAGCCTGCCAGGGACAGTGCTCCCTGGGTGATGGGGAGCACAAGTGTGAATTCCCCAAAGGGAAGACATGAACTCAAGACTTGCCCAGGTTTACCAGCTACATAGTCAGATACATAATCATCAGCATCATCAACGGCTGCTTTGGAAGAGAGGCCTGAACTCCATTCCCTGCTGAAAGTGAGATTGGACGTCCCTTGGTCCAGAAAAGGGGTCAGCATCAGAACATCACATAGCATGTCAGCTCTGGCGTGAGCTAAGATGCAAACCTCTGCAGTTCTCTGCTGGTCCAGCATCCTGGGTTCCCTGCAGCGCATGCCAGGGTAGTGCACCCACATGCAAGCTCCCAGCTCCCTTCATACTAGGTAAGACAGAAGCACGTGGGCAAGAGGCGGGAGCTATGATTTCCTTGGTATGTCTGTCCCCTTGACCCATGGCAGGATCAGCTCCTTTGTTTTGTGGCTTCACATTGCATGAATATAAGGTACTGAAGCACCCTTGGTTCAGTTTTGAGTGCTGTTTCAGCTCAGCGCTTGTTTCCTAGCTGAGAAAGGCTCAATGCCCTTGTGCAGCTGACGTGCCGGCTGCATATGCCTGTGGCTCTGATAGTTTGAATGAAGCAGCCAGTTCAGACTGAGGAAATTTCACTGTGGAAATCAGCAAAGGAGTAACAACAGGAACCTCTTAGCACAGACACTCCACTCCCACTCCAGCCACAGCTGTCTCAGAGATAGATGGAGGTAAAAGTATTGTGCAGCCTCAGGAAATTTAGTTTTTGTTGCTACATTTCTGTCCCAAACTCACATGTCTGAAGAATTGGGTTTATCTTGGTCATTCTGATCTCGCCACAGCCATGCTGGAGGGGAGGAGGCTGGTTTTCCTCTGCAGCAGTTTAACCCATGGCATACAGTCACATCCTCATAAAATGAAAGAACTGCTCCACCTACTACTGTTTTTTCCCAAAAGAGTGAATAAAACACAGAGTAGAAGAACTTGAGGGCAAAGATCTGTAAGCACAGCTCAAATGGATCAAAATGCCATGCTTTTTCCTTCTGTAGGCCTTTTTCCAACAAAACTGAGAAACAACCCCAAATTTATTCCCATTTCCTGATCAGTTCCAAAAATTTCCCGTGTCACATCTTTGAGACAAGAGCTCTTTGGGCTGCCAGCCTCTGTGCTGTGCTCCTGCTTGGCTCGCTCAAGCTGAGCAGGATCAGACTGACCTGCTGGTGCACTGGGCACCTTCAGAGCAAACCTTGGTGCTGAGGAATTGGCAATTGCCATTTTTGCTCTGACACTGAATGGAATCAACACCCTCGTGTGGGAAGTGACAGTGGTCCATCCAGAAGAAATAAGTAACTGAATTTCCAGCCACTTTGTGCCACTAAAGCTCCTGGGATCTCTTTCTGAGACTTGCAGGATTAGCCTCAGCTGAAGGGTACGTTGGATGGTTATACTCTCACAGTGCAAAACCTGACGTTTCCGTTGCGGTACTGTATTGGCCTCTGCTTCCCGTTTCCCACTCGCAGAGATGAGGCCGTGGGGTGTTAAACCGCTCAGCATCGTCCCCTGCAGGCAGGTGCGCTTCTCGGGTGGTAAGAGGTACTTCACAAGGCTCTGTGCAGAAAAGGAAGATGCTGTAAACGATAAAGGCAAGATGTTATCATGCCATGTCAGACTCACAAGTGCCACAGCTGCTGTTTGGCTGCTGGTTCCCAAGACATTTAGAGCAGGTTAGCAGAAGAACTACTGACGTTTTGGGTTGGATTATGTGGGTAAACCCCAGCCTGGGCTCCCAGCCGTTTCCCCTGCCTCTGCGAGGAGCAAGTGCTGCAGAAGGAGATGGCGGTTGCCCACAGGGGCAGGGAGGGGGCTCGCCCTCCTGAAGTGCAGGGGGAGGGTGCCCCCTCCTCGACATTGTCAGTCCTGATGTTTTAAGGGCGGCCACGGGCTTTTTTGAGATCCTGAAAGGTCTTTGCAGCAGGACGTGCACCCTTCACGCCACCCTCGGCTGGGGCACCTG